CAGTTTCCTGTTCTAGCCCATCCAAGATTCGTGTTGTGTGTTTAGAGATGATCTTCTGCATTCCTCGGTTGTAACGAGTGGTTATTTGAGTTACTGTTGCCTTTCTACCAACTGGAACCAGTCTGGCCATTCTCCTCTGACCTCTTGAATCAACAAGGCATTTGTGCTCACTGGTAATTTTCTCTTTTTCTGACTATTCTCTTTAAACCCTAGAGATGGTTGTGCGTGAAAATCAGCAGTTTCTGAAATACTCAGACCAGCCCGTCTGACACCAGCAACCATGCCACGTTCGAAGTCACTTAAATCACCTTTCTTCCCCATTCTGAGACACTGCTTGCTGCAGAGCCACTTGGTCTCCAATGAGGGGGAGCTTGAGCTCCAACTCCTCCTCCTGTAAGCTTTTTTAATGCGTACACCCACCCCACCTCTAACCCCAACCCCCAGTGCATCACTTGTAGAAGAAGTGCAAGGAAAGAGGAGCTGGAGCTCAAGCTCGCCCTTGCTGGAGCTCAGCTCTGCCCAAGTGGCTCTACAGTGAGTACCATTTGCCCATTCTGATGCTCGGTTTGAACTGCAGTAGACCATGTTGACCATGTCTACACGCCTAAATGCACTGAGTTGCTGCCTTGTGATTGGCTGATTGGAAATTTGCATCAACAAGCAGTTGGACAGTTGTACCTAATAAAATGGCCGGTTAGTATATATCATAAATAGACAATATTCAGGATAATAAGGAAAGCTCTATGTGGTCTGTTTTTACACAATGTCAGTGTTTATGGGTTTATTAAAACTAGATAAAATGCTAAAAATAATGTTTTCTAAGATATTAATGACTAGTGCATTGAGAAAAACCCCAAAAATACAATAGGCACATCAGTTTTGTCGGATTCTCTTCTTGCCAGAATCTTCTCTATTCTCTGCAAGCTCTAATACTTATGGCTATGTGGTTTTGCAAGCTCATTTAATAAAGGGAATCATGGGGGAATGTGAAAAGGGGACAGCAAGATGGCAGAAGAGGAGGAAATGCTGCTGATGGGAACCTGAGACGGTGCCCTTCCATTCACTCCGGTATCACTGTAACACATCATCCAATTTTTCGAGAGCCAGAGAGGGGAATGGGCCTGCATTTACATAATGCTGCGTCCTCACTATTTTAATTCAGTTCAAGCGCAGCCATGTGTGTGTATGCCACCGCTATTGCTGTTTGCGTGAGTGTGTAGCTGTGTGTTGTTGCAGGGCTCTTCAATCCTAATGCTAGATGAACTCTCAGATAAGTTGAGCATATAGTGCTCTTCAGATGAAGTGCTGCCTTAGAGAGATGAGCATGTGCTGCCAACATATTTTCCACTGCATTATTAAACAGCCAATACTATGGAACAACTTGATACCATGACATAAATTAGGCCTGATTGAAAGATAAAATAATGATTAATATGGATTATGGATATGGATAGTCATAAACTGTCAAACATTCGTGTGCTTTGACTGTTTTTGTTATCATGAGCTGATATGAGATGCTGACAGTATGATAATCTTAGAAAAAAATATCACGATATCATGATATTGTGCTTACTGCTCTACAATATGTTCTTTTTAAATGTCTGGGTAAAAAACAACTACTTTATGACCTTAATAAAATTTATAAACTAAATAAAATAGTCGCAAAAAACACATACCACCATAGGAATGGTATAACAAAACAAAAAAAAAAAACAGCAGTAATAAAACCTTGTTTTTGCAAATTGCTGTAAACCTTGAAGCTGAATATGATCTAATGAATAAATAATTCTAATGATAAGAAAAATTTTCACCTTATAACTAAGAGCAGTGTATGAATTATACATTGACGATCGGGAGGTCAATCAAATCAAATCAAATCAAATCAATCAAATTCATTCATTTATTTTCTTTTCGGCTTAGTCCCTTTATAAATCTGGGGTCGCCACAGTGGAATGAACCGCCAACTTATCCAGCATATGTTTTAAGCATATGGCCTTCCAGCTGCAACCCATCTCTGGGAAACATCCATACACTCTCATTCACACTTTAGTTTACCCAGTTCACCTGTATCGCATGTCTTTGGACTGCAGGGGAAACCGGAGCTCCTGGAGGAAACCCACACAAACGCGGGAGAACATTTAAACTTCACACAGAAATGCCAACTGACCCAGCCGGGGCTCGAACCAGCAACCTTCTTGCAGTGAGGCAACAGCACTACCACCGCTTCGCCATGAATCAGATTTATGAAAGTATTTATATTACATCTAATTTATTAATAAAATTTATACGTTTTCAGTGTTTTGAGGCATACTGTATAGCGACTATTTTAGAGGTTACTCTAGGTCAAACTATACAAACTCTATTTTTTCTTCTTTTTTTTTGGCTACATGCAGATTTTACAAGAAACATGTTTTGTGAATACTTAAGATGTCTATTGGTGCTCTGAAACTGCCAGTTTTAGACTGTTGAATGATATTTTTACTAGCATTGATTGGCGCGATTATGTATAGAAGCCAAAAATAAATAAATAAATAAATAAATACAATTTTTAGAAAAATTATAAGGTCAGAATTCTGATTTATAAAATCAGAATTGCAAGTTATTAAGTCTATTTTCTGAGTTATAAAGGCAGAATTGCAGGTTGTTAAGTCTGAATTCTGAGTTATAATATCGCAATTCTGAGTTATTAAGTCAGAATTCTTAGATGTGAAGGCGGAATTGCAAGTTAATAAGTCTGAATTCTGAGTTATAAAGTCACAATTCTGAGTTATTTTATCAAAATTGCAAGTTATTAAGTCTGAATTCGCGATGCGGTGGTGCAGTAGGTAGTGCTGTTGCCTCACAACAAGAAGGTCGCTGGTTCGAGCCTCAGCTGGGTCAGTTGGCATTTCTGTGTGGAGTTGCATGTTCTTCGGGTTCCTCCGGGTGCTCCGGTTTCCCCCACAGTCCAAAGAAATGTGGTATAGGTGAATTGAGTAGGCTAAATCGTCCGTAGTGTATGAGTGTTCATTCATTCCGCTAGGGACTATAAGCCGAAAAGAAAAAGTATGATTCCATAAAAAAGTCTAAATTCTGAGTTATAAAGTCAGAATTAGAAGTTATAAAGTTAAAATTCTGAGTAATAATGTCGCATTTTCGAGTTATTCTGACTTTATAACTTGCAATTCTGACTTTCATTCATTTATTTTCTTGTTGGCTTAGTCCCTTTATTAATCTGGGGTCGCCACAGCGGAATGAACCGCCAACTTATCCAGCAAGTTTTTACGCAGAGAATGCCCTTCCAGCCGCAACCCATCACTGGGAAAGAAATTCTGACTTCATAACTTGCAATTCTGACTTAATCATTTTTATTTTATTTATTTTTTCTTCTTCTTATTTTTTATTCAGTGGGAGAAACGAGCTTCCATAATTGTGCATTCACAATTGTATAAACTGTTGTAGGGGATCAATGTATATTTATATTATACATTTTTAATTATTAATAATTAAAGATATAGATCAGAGAAAGCTATTTCTTACTATTAAGAAGCCACTGAAACTAATCACAGAGCCTGATATAGGTACTTCGAATCATCTTGACCGTCAGTCAATATGCTCACATTCAAAATATATGCTTGTCTGTCTTGTTTTAAAAGGTTTGGTTTAATCATGTGACTGAATTAAACATAGGTAAGCATCTGCTATATTTAGCCATTTCAATTTCTGTCAGCTTCGCGTTTAATTGAAGAATTAATAAACTATTATGGATCAGAGCAATGTTTTGTGAGTAACTGTTACATTTTGTCGTATGTAGCCGTGTAATAAACAGGATAAAGAACATCAAGGACTGGGTTTACATAGAACAAAGCCCTTCAGACTTATACCACATAAGCCTGTCAGGTTTTATTTCACGATAACAATCTCCTGGATGTGCTTTATATGCTGTATATAAAATATCAAGATACACAATATGTTTTTATTATTATTTTCAAAAATGTGTTTTCTGGGTTATGTTAACACTAAGTCCAAGATGGATGCACATTAAAAATAAATTAGACCTCACAATGTGTCAAACCCCCTTCCTTACATCTTATTTTTATGTCCTTCAGGGGGGATCAAGCGTTAATTAGGGGGTCAACCCCCTTAAACTTCACACTTGGACATTGAACAACATTCAAATAATAGTAAAGAAGAAAAAGAGAAACAGCTAAAGCATCTCTAGTTCAACAAATTCAATAAACTGGGGTCAGTTTGACAGTGAAAACACATACTTTTGCGCCACCTGCTGTCGAAAAAGATTTGCACATTGCTTCTCAAAACTCACACAATTACTTGTACTAATTATATTTTAGTTAGGCCTATTAAATGTTAACGTTAAAAGACAACACAAAACAATCAGGATTAGCCTATCATTTATCAACAAAGAAAAATGTCATACTCACATAAATCTGTCATGAAGCGATATCAAATGATGCATCATGGGCTGAAGATCGCTTGTAGGATGTTGTAGTTGTTATTTCCAAGTTTAAAACTTAATTTTCCGAGTTATCTGTAATGTAGCGTAAGCTAACAAAAACAAACCACGTCAGGCACGTCATCATCATGCCTCGCGCGCTTCTCGACACAGAGTTTAAATGCAGAGATTTCGACAGGCCTAACTTACATTAATTATACTCATAGCACACAAGAATAAACTTTTTTTTTCACGAGGAAAGCAAAAACATTTGACATTTTATTACATTTCATTTTATTCCTCTCTTTAGAGCAGTTAAGTGTCCACAAGAGGGAGGCAACATACAAGCTTCACCAGCTACTGTAGCTACATTGAGCTTTTCCTGCAAAGGTATGGGACTTCAAATAATACATATTCTTAAGGGATGTTTAGTACATCAAGCAAATACTGATATTTAAGATAGGTGTTTATAATTCTAATGCCATCCTGTCATAGACGAAGCAGTATTCATATGTCTTAATAGCATTTGAGCTTGTGATTTATGTAATACACCATAAAACTGCGCACAAAGACACCTGATTCAAGGTCAAAGTCTTACACACAACATGGTTCTGAAGGACAGTTTAATTTGCCTTTGCTTTTGAAGACAATCGACATCCATCGTTTTAAAAGGTTTGTGAAATTCTCTACATGTATGTACATGCTTAAAGAAGTATCTAGTTCCTCTAAAGTTTGTATTTTAGTTTGGTCACAATCAAACATTGTAAATTAGACGATAAAATTGAATGCAATGAATACCAGAATATTTTAATAATGTAATGAATTCATCAGAACTCTAGCGGGTTTTTTTTTTCCTTTGTTTTTTTCTAACATAAGAGCTGTATATTATGGTCAGTTTTAGATCCTAATGATTTACATTCCATTAAAGCATTACTTTCACTCACTTTACTGCAATTTATATCAAGCTTCTAGGCTATTTTACCAGAATAGCTTTAAAATATCTATTCAATGGCTTGACTTTACTTGATTTGTAATGAAATGTGTTGTGTAACTTTTTTCAAAAGGCTGAAAGAAAAGAAGAACAATGACAGGATTACTTCAAGCACAAAAACTCAAACTCAAAGACAGTATGGATGAGCCTCCATGTAAGTGAAAAACAAAATGACTGAATAAATATAGAAATCTAAGCATTTAATTACAGCCTCAAGTCTTTTTGAGTATGATGATACAAGCTTGGCACGCCTATTTTTTAACAGTTTCTAAAACCTTATCATGTTGGATGGAGAGTGCACAGCCATTTTCAGATCTTTCAAATGATGTTTAAACAGGTTCAAATCTGGGCTCTGGCTAGGCCACTCAAGGACATTCACAAAGCTGTTCTGTAGCAACTCTTTTATCTTGGCTTTGTGCTTAAGGTCACCGTTCAGTTGATAAATGAATGGCTCGGAGGTCCAAAGCATTCTGGAGCAGGCTTTCTCTAGAATGACTCTGTACATTGCAGCATTAATCTTTTCTTTATTTCTGACTAGTCTCCCAGTTCCTGCCTCTGAAAAACATTCCCAAAACTGATGCTGCTACCACCGTTTTGATAATATCAAAAGAGACTTGAATCTTTATTTTATCAGACCAGAGAATTGAGGTTTTTTTTGTGTGGTCTCAGAGTCCTTCAATCACCTTTTGGCAAACTCTAGCCGAACTGTCAAAGAATTTAGCCACTCTAGTTCTTTGTTGGACGGCTGCAGAGATGGTTGTTCTTCTGAAAGGTTCTCCTCTCTCCACAGAGAAAAGCTGAAGATTTTCTTTATGTACCCTTTCCCAAATCTGTACCTAGATACAATACTGTCTCAGTGGTCTATCCACTGTTCCTTGGATTTTGGTGCTTGGTTTGAGCTCAAACAGTGCATCTAGAAGTTATTCATAGCGCTTCACATTTTCCACATTTTGTTTGTTACAGTCTTATTCCAAAATGGATAAAAAATCATTCATTTCCTCAACATTCTACACATAATACCCCATAATGTCAATGTAAAAAAAATCACATTGCAAATTTATTAAAAATAAAAAAGCTGAAAAATCACATGTACATAAGTATTCACAACCTTTGCGTAATACTTTGTTGATGCATCTTTGCTAGTAATTAATTTTTTTGCCCATTTGGCTTCCGTGTGGCCACTCTATCATACAGGCCTGATTGGTGGATTGCTGCACAGATGGTTGTCCTTCTGTAAGGTTCTTCTCTCTCCAAAGAAGAATGCTGGAGCTCAGACATGGTGACCATCAGGTTATTGATCACCTCCCTGACTAAGGGCCTTCTCCCCAATCCCTCAGCTTAGATAGCTGTCCAGCTCTAGGAAGAGTCCTGGCAGTTCCAAACATCTTCTATTCACAGTATGGATGATGGAGGCCAATGTGCTTAGTGGAACTTTCAGAGCAGCTTACATTTTTCTGTAACCTTCCCCAGCCTTGTGCTCAGAGGTCCACAGACAATTCCTTTGTTTTCATGCTTGGTTTTTGCTTTGACATGCACTGTCAACCCTGGGACCTTATATAGACAGGTTTATGTCCTATCAAATCATGTCCAAACATCTGAATTTACCACAGGAAAAAATCTAATTAAGCTGCTGAAGCATCTCAAGAATGACCCGTGGAAACAGAATGTACCTGAGCTCAATTTCAATGTACCTGAGCTTCACGGCAAAGGCTGTGAATGCTGATCTACATGTGATTTTTTTTTAGTTTTTTTTTTTTTTTTATAAATTTGCAACAGTTTAAAAAAAAATCTTTTTTTCACATTGTCATTATGGGGTATTGTGTGTAAAATATTGAGGAAAAAAATTCTTTAATCAATTTTGGAATCTGACTGTAACATAAAAATTGTAGAAAAAGTGAAGTGCTATGAATACTTTATGGATGCACTGAATATGTACTGTTAACTGTGGGCTCTTACATAGACAGATGTGTACTTTCTCACGTTATATTTAGTCAAATGAATTTACCACAGGTGGAGTCCAAATTGTGAAACATCTCAAGTATGATCATTGGAGACAGGAGCACCTGAGGTCAATTTTGAAGGTCTAGGCCAGAGATGGCCAACCCTGTTCCTGGAGAGCCACCTTCCTGTAGATTTCAGTTGCAACCCATATCAAACACACCTGAACCAATTAATTAGGACCTGAACACATCACATGATAATTACAGGCAGGTGTGTTTGATATGGGTTGCAACTGAAATCTGCTGGAAGGTGGCTCTCCAGGAACAGGGTTGGCCACCCCTGGTCTAGGCAAAGGCTGTGAATATTTATGTACTTGATATTTTTCAGAAATTTGCAAAGATTTAAAACAAACATCTTTAACATTCTTATTTGGGAGTATTGTTTATAGAATTTGGAGAAAATAGAGATGACAAAATGTGTAAAAAGTGAATTTGTGTAAATTTTTTTGATTCTGTGTGTCTAAATCTCTGTTTTCATTGTTTCTCTCCAGCTCTGTCATCCTCTAGGGGTCATTTGTTTGAGGAGCTTCAGTGTTCAGTGTGTCTGGATGTGTTCACTGATCCAGTCAGCACTCCATGTGGACACCACTTCTGTAAGAGCTGCCTGAACAAGAGCTGGGAGAACAGTCAGGTCTGCAGATGTCCATTGTGCAGAGAAAGATTCAGTGACAAACCCAGTTTTAAGATCAACACTGGACTTGGAGAGTTTGCTCAACGCTTTAAGCAAAGGTTAAGCCTGCGAATATCTGAGGTCCTCTGTGACATCTGTGATGGGAGAAAGATGAAAGCCTTGAAGTCCTGTCTGGTGTGTCAGACCTCTTACTGTGAAACTCACCTGGAGCCTCATCGAAGAGTCCCGAACTTCATGAAACACAAACTGATGGAGCCTGTGATAAATATAAAACACTATATATGCCAGAAACACGAGAGACCTCTGGAGCTGTTCTGTAGAGATGATCAGATGTGTGTTTGTGTGTTTTGCACTGATGGAGACCACAAGACTCACAACACTGTTCCTATACAAGAGGAGATCAAAGTGAAGAAGGTATGAGTTACTAGCAGCTTACTTTAGTAACAAGATGTTTTGGCAGATAATGGAAAAATTCATGCAGAGAATTAAAATATCGGTGTATTTCGGTCTGTCTATAGATTCAGATGATGAAGACTCAGAGAGACATGCAGCAGATGATTGATGAAAGAACCAAGAAGATTCAAGACATCAAACACTCAGCAGACCTCAGAAAGGTAAGTTGAAATGTTCAACATTTGATGGATAATGTTTCAATTTTTCTTCTTTAAACTAAAATATTTTTCAGGAAAGCACAGCAAGAGAGAAAACGTCCACTGTTGAGCTCTTCAGTGATCTGCAGCGCTCCATTGAGAGATGTCAGGCCGAGCTGCTAGAGATGATGGAGGAGAAGCAGAAAGCAGCAGAGAAACAGGATGAAGAGCTGATTCAAGAGCTGCAGCAGGAAATCAACGAGCTGAAGATGAGAAACTCTGATTTGGATCATCTCTCACACACTGAAGATCACCTCCAGCTCCTGGAGGTCAGTGTCTCTCTGTCTGCTCACATCACAGGACAACACTCACACTCCTCCAGCTGAATGATTTCTTCTCTCTCCTGCTGTAGATTTACCCATCCATATGCAGCCCACCAAACATTAAGAACTGGCCTGAAACCAGTATGAGCACTGATGTGAGCTTGGAGACTCTGAGGAGAGCTCTGACTCAACTGCAGGAAACTCTGAATGAGAAAGTCAGCAAAACTGGTAGGTCACTATCATATACAGAACCCACATAATTTGACAAGTAATTGTTAGAGTTAGAGATTATAAAATATATATATATATATATGATGCACATATATCAATCTTGTTCACAAAAATCCTAAAATCATATTATTGTGTTTTATGATTGACTTACCATTACAGTGTTGAGGAGGATGCAGCAGTATGCAGGTACAATGTCTGATTTTCACTTTGCTCATACTGTAAACAATACATGAACAGTAGTACTTTACATTTAACCCTCTATGGCGTGATTTTTTTGTTTCAGGAGCAAATAAATATTTCGTACAAATTTTTGGGTGCTTGGGGGTCCCTTATAATAAATCAACGATAAAATGTGCTCCCCCTAGCTCCCCTAGGGGGACCCTAGCTCTTCCCCAGGTTTGTTTAATCAGGGTTAAAGAAAAACTGTACTGAACTGGGGCTTTTTACAAGTTTAATTAGTATGGAAACAGCTATTGTGACTCTTCAAGCTCGCTGTCAGAAGGAATGAGCCTCACTGCTCAACTTTGTTTTTATAAAATGTTTCAACATCCATTTCCTGTAAGTAATAGTTGACAGTAAAACACGAAATCTATATTATGCTTATAACTGTACATTTCTGGACATTTCCATCCTTAGGTTGTTATTGTTTTTACAAAAGTGGTCTAACTGCACAATATTGTCCTAAGGAAACATGAAAAACTACAATTTTAGCATATAGATAATAATAAAAAGTGTATTTTTTCAATCAAACATGCTTCTTTACATATCCATGCATATCACACATATTTTAACATAAAGATAATCAAATTTAAACATGCTAAAAAGTGAAATCTATCATACATTCTGCTAGCAGTGTGCCCAAGCAGATTATGGTCTCAAAAATGGATCTTTTGCCCCCAATGGACAGGTAAAATCTACACCCACCTCAAATTTCATTGGTCACAAACTTATTATCAGAGTTTTTTTTTTTTTTTTTTTTTGTGAGTTGTTTGTGGGTCAAAAATCTGGTTTGTTGCCTGAGGGCAACACCATGCCATAGAGGGTTAACTTATCAAATTTATTAGGAGATTTGCATTGTGAAGAAACGATTCATGTTCTATGATCTCCTTTTCAGTGGATGTGACTCTGGATCCCGATACAGCTCATCAAAAACTGATTCTCTCTGATGACGGGAAGCAAGTGAGCACTGAGGACACTAAACAAAAGGTCCCAAACAACCTAGAAAGGTTTGATAAGTGTATCTGTGTTCTGGGAAAAGAGGGATTCCTGACGGGGAGATTGTATTTTGAGGTTCAGATGAAGGGAAAGACGGAGTGGACTTTAGGAGTGGCCAGAGAATCGATTAACAGGAAGGGGAAAATCACAGTGGGTCTTCAGGATGGATACTGGGCTGTGGGTCTGAGGAATGAGAATGAATATTGGGCTTATGCTGCTCCAGCTGTCCGTCTTTCTGTAAGAGAGAAACCACAGAAGGTCGGTGTGTTTGTGGATTATGAAGACGGTCTGGTCTCATTCTATGATGTGGAGTCCAGATCTCACATCTACTCTTTCACCGGTCAGTCTTTCATCAATAGACTTTACCCATATTTTTGCCCCTTTCCTAATGATATCTGTAAAAATTCAGCATCAATGAACATCTCACCTGTTAACTGCAGTGGATGATTAAATAGACCGGAAATGAAATGCACATTGAAAACAAAGCATTGCTAGACATATTTATCTGTAATTAATATTTCCTGAATTAATTTTCACATCTAATTTGCTTATTAGACACAGGAAACTACTACTTTTATATTTTTAAATCTACTTATTAAATTCTACATAACATAAAATGGGAACATTTGCAGTTTGACAGTGTCCTGTACATTATTGCAGACTTACTGAATCATTAGGAATAATCCAGGACGCAAAATATTCACACATGACTGAAATAATAAAATCCTGGGTCCTTTCCTTACAATTTTTAGTGAATTATGCAAACTGTACAATGCTTTGATGATTCCAACTCAAGTGAACAACAGTGGCCATATTACTATTACAGGGGCAAATTATTGATTAATAAAGACTTTTTTTCTCGTTCAATAACCCAGTTAAACGCTGCAGGACATAGGCCCTCCAGGACAGAGTTTGCCCACCCCTGCAATAACCTGTATTGCATGTTGTATTTGCAACATGGATGCTTGTTTATTTAATGTGTAACTATAGGCTGCCATTAAGTCTAAACTGTAGACTTCTAAGTTGGTGAGATTGTGTATAATGTGTATGTGTGTTTGTGGTATACAGTAAGTTTACAAAACAATTCAATAAAATTACAGAATACAAAACAGTGGAATAAATGTGAGTATTACTTTATTTGAGGTTTTGTACACAATATGGAGACGATTCAAGCTTTACTAGCTATTGTGCTGTTGTACTGAGCTTGCTTCAAAGAGTTAGGACTCCAACAATCCATGATTATAATTGATTTTAGAACAACAACAAAAAACAGTGAACTTTGAGTTTGTGTATTACAATACTATGTTGTTCTGAAAATAGTAATAATTCATATTCATAATGATATTAAATATGCTTGAATTTAATCTCCTTAAAACAAAGCCTAAATACACCTGATACAAGGTCAAAGTCTGATGTGTTTCAGACAAAATGGTTCTCAGTAGACTTTAATGTGTTTAATGCTTTTAAAAACAACCAAATAATAAAATACCAATATGTGCTGAGGCTTTTTAAAGTTGTGATATTCATTTCTAGGTAAGTTACCGTATTTTACTTGCAGTAATGTGTATGTAAATATGGGTTCATGGACTGTTTAGAACATGTTCGGGCTGTATTTATTTTGTGTGTAAGTTATAGGAAGTTAAATGAGTTACAGGAAGTTACAATGCTCCTGTACAGGAGGAGATTAAAGACAAGGAAAGATATTTATTTTTATATTCTTGGTTTAAATACTCAAACTACACCACATACATCAGTCTACAATTAAATATTTTTCAGTCCATGTATAAATTACGTAAGTGGAGCATTTAAAGACATATTCATCTGAAAGGAATATATACAGTGCTGTATGCAGCTGCTGTTTGTCGAATAATGAGGACATATACTATACCATCTGTTTTATAATTTTACAATATCTGAAATCTTACATCAAATAAAATGTATGTGTTTCCACATTAAAGAATGTCTTATTGAATAATTATTTAATACCAAGATATTTTATAGCCATATGTAGCCTGCAACTATCAGTGTAAGAAAACACTGCCATAGTCACATTCATCATGCTTTGGGTAAAACTCCATGCAAAGAAATGTATCATTAAATATTTATTGGATTCCTGTGATTAACTGAACTTGATTTTAAACATCTTCTGAATTATTATTTTTATTTAATTTTTTTAAATAATAATGCTTAATAATAATGCTCAAATGATACTGAGCATGCATTTACCTTTTTATCTTTGTACAAAATGGAGACAATATCTTCAATATAAAAAATATAAATCTAGAAAAATTCTGGTTTAGAGTCTCTAATTAATTCATTGTGGTGAGTCATTTATGATTCACAAGAGGCTTCTATACCAAGTATTTTAATTATAATATCTTTCTGGAATTTGTCTATTAAAAATGTTCATTCTTTATACTGGCATTACAGTTGTAGTAAATGTATGTATATCAAAATCAAGGAGGAATTGTGTGACTCAGAACACATGGCAATTACAGTTTGACCTGACCAGAAAGGGGCTGCTTAATGTCACAGATCATGTTGTACCATTAGGGCTTGTTTAACAATCGTAAACAGTTCCATGATTCACAGCTTTAAAAAATGCCCAAAAAATGATCAGTTTTCAAAATTTAGGCTACTGTAAGTGGGACTGATTGTGTCCAGTATTGGCCAACAGGTCAACAGTCTCTTCTACTGGTGAAAAAGAGGAATCACATATTGAACGGTTTTACCCTGTTTCTGCCGTTTGCCTGTTGAACCAGTTTGCCATTTTAGTTATCCATCATATAAAGAGTATTTCCTAATCACAACATTGGGCTACAGTCTATGCCAGAGGTGCCAAACGTGGTCCTAGGGGGACCTGAAAAGTTTAACTCAACTTCCATTTTTAAAACACCTAATTCAGTTCTTATTCATACGTACATAAATAAGAAAGATGAAGCTAAAATCAGGACGTTGGAACTTCAGGGCCAAGGGATGTCAATTTCTATTAAACGTTATTATATATATATATATATATATATATATATATATATATATATATATATATATATATATAACAATTCAATTCATCTTTATTTGAAAAGTGCTTTTACAAAGTATATTATGTTAAAGCAGGTTCACATAGAAGATTATAGTAAATTGAAAGTGTAGTGTAGTTTAATTTCAAGTTCAGTTTAATCAGTTCAGTGTGTTTTAATATTTACTGCTGAGAGTCCAAACCATGAACAGTAATTCATCCAAATAACACTTAAAACCGCTTTATTTCGTTAATATTTGTTCATCAACCATTGCTTTCATGTCACTTGCTATCATTCTCACTCATTTACGAGGCGTTTGCGGTGTCTTGTTACCATAGTTACAGTATGATGTGTAGAACGTCATTTAGAACGCGTTCCAGTGGAATACTTTTAGCTGTGCAGCTCAGAGAATCTTTTGTTGGTTTGTGATACACTCTAAAAACTGCTGGGTTGAAAACAACCCAATTTGGGTTGTTTTGGTAACCCAGCGCTGGGTAAAAAAGGGACAAACCCAACGCTGGGTTACTTTAACCCAGCAAGTTGGGTTACAAGTTTAACCCAGCATGCTGGGTTGTGATTTTAACCCAACTATTAGTTAAAAATTACTACACTGCTGGGTTGAATGTAACCCAAAATGGGTCAGAAATTTAATCTAGAAACTGATGATTAAAATCACTAAAATAAAAACAATTCTACAGCAATACATAGTTGTTCAGTAATGGAATTTTATTTATGACAAAAGATAAAATGTGTCCAAATGAATTTGAGATTTTTCCCATCTGCACCTCAGCATTAACCCTTCGACTGCCTGCTCTACCAAATGGTTGACCTCGTTTTTACTGTTTTAAATAATGACTGTTAAAGTCATAAGAAAAAAGATGATTTAGTGTTCAAAATATTTCTTTTAAATATATATATATATATATATATATATATATATATATATATATATATATATATATATATATATTTTTTTTTTTTTTAATTGGTCTTACACATAATTTTTCAGATTTTTCATAGTTCTGGTACTTTTACCATAAACATACATATCAATCATTTGGTAGAGGTTGATATTTTAGAAATTATAACGTGTTAAAATGTACTGATTGTGTTCAATAGCGACATTAGCAGTTGAGAAATGCAATCCAATTTTTTTTCTTGAAAGGGTTGTTAAAGGGTTAAGACGATTTCTGTGAAAATTTATCAAACTGTATCACAGAAACACTGACTAAAGTTCAGTAACAATGCATCAGATTGAAATCAGACAAATTACCTTAAGAAAATGCATATTTGAAATACATTCAAAAACATTTGCATCATTTATAAATCAGGAATCATCAGTAAGGCAATTGCAATGTTATTGCAAAGTAGAGAAAAACTATAGTATAAGGAAGTAATAATGAAAATGCATCTAAATGACTGAAGTCAGAAAGTAATTTGAGCACAAACATCAACATATTCTCATATAAATCATCAACTGCAATGCAGAAAAAAATATGTGAAAGTAATAATGAAAAGGCATCAAACAGCTTGAAAAAACAAAACAAACAATAAAAACTAAGAAAATACAAATTTTATATTAAGAAAAAATAAGAAAACATTTTATAACTTTCCCTTTAACAATTATGTGCAAACATCAATATATGAGATATAAAGCAATCATCAGTAAGGATGATCAAGTTCAATGTAAATGCAGTTTTGAAGAAAAAACAGATATAAAAGTTAAAATGAAACCTGAGGATGGAAGCATTTTAAAACAAATTTGAAATAGGAAAACTTTTTTTAACTTTTACTCGAACAATCATGTGCAAACATCAATCCTGAGATATAAAAGAGTCTGTAAGAAACATTAGTTGCAATGTAACTGCAGTGTAGAGTGTCTTAAAAAATATCTAGTCCATTATTATGTGCCGTCATCATAGCAAAGAGAAAAGAAATCAGTTATTAGAAATGAGTTATTAAAACTATTCTTTAGAAATGGGTGTCATGGTGGCACAGTGGGTAGTACGATTGCCTCACAGCAACAAGGTCGGTGGTTTAAGCCTCAGCTGGGTCAGTTGGTGTTTCTGTGTGGAGTTTGCATGTTTTCCCCGTGTTCGTGTGGGTTTTCTCTGGGTGCTCCTTTTCCCCCACAATCCAAAGTACAAGTTAAAGAACACAGAATCCAAGGAAGCAGTGAGGTCACAGTATTAATGATTACTGTTTGTCAGCAAAAATTAATGCTAGCAGAACCCTTACTGCTAGTGTCTCCTCCCCAGGATGTCCATAAACCACAGTCTGCCACACCAGGGAACACTGCTTGGGGTAGTTCACACCAAAGATGTAGAATGCTTTATAGCAAACGTCCACTTTGGCAAGTAATGTACTTTGCAATAATAAATAGCACAGCACGTGAGCAAAGGCTTGAAAGAAGTGGTGGTCTCCAAGGATGAGAACATGAGGAAACTCAATAGATTCTTGAATTCAATGGATGAAGATACTCAGCAATATTGGTCCCAATCTGAAAAAATAAATAGAAGTAAGATTTATTAAAAACTCAAAAGTGTAAAAGTTAAATATCTTTAGAGTTAACTTTAGAACACCTAAAATACCTTTAGAAGCAATTAAGGCCATAACACACCAAGCTATCAGCCAGTGTTGGCATTAGTTAACCACTGACCATGGCACCATGCTGCAATTTTTTGGCCCGAGTGAAGATGACAATGCAACAACAGGTTTGCCTAAGGAACTTTTTTTAATAAGTAATAGTAAGGCAAGATGAGCATTTGAAATTATTAAGTATTTAAATGTGTTTTCTTAATGAGAATAGATAAGACCCTTCTTCCTGAGCTGGGACTGTTTGCAACCGTATTTGTATCATTTGAAGCCGCATTTAAATTTTCTTTAAAAACTTCAAAAATGAGGCACAATCTCAGTTCAAGATGGATAAAATTGCTGAAATATTTTCCTAAAAAAAAAATCTTTCTGACTGAAGAAAGAATGACATGAACATCTTGGGTGACATGGGGGTGAGTACATTATGTGTGAATATTTTGTTGGAAGTGGACTTCTCCTTAAATGAAAATAATTGGCTTACAGGGCATTTAGAGTTTGTTGCATTCACTATCTATATAAAGCATCTTATCACTAAAAATTTGAAACCATAGCTGTGACCAAATCACAACTTTCACATAACCGTCATCTTTTTATGTTTTACGCAGCAGATGCCCTTTCAACTGCAACCCATCACACTCTCATTTACACACACACTATGGACAATTCAGCTTACCCAATTCAGCTACACCGCATGTCATTGGACTGTGGAGGGGAAACCCATCCAAGGCTCAAACCAGCGACCATCTTGCTGTGATGCGACAGCACTACCCACTGCGCCCCCATGCCACCCTAATAACAAACATAAAAATAACATTTTCATTGTTAATAAAATAACTAAGACAATCATTATGCATTAAATGCATCATTATGCATCGAGAAACCTTTAATTGAATCCTTACCCTCTGAATTGTATTCAAATTGACCTAAAAACGAGGAAAGGTTCGCTCCTGTGCTAAAAATAAAACAAGAGAATGTCACTGGCTGCATGAACAGCAGATTTTAAAAAATAACCAGACAAAAACAAATTGGCATTAGAGTTCAATCTCTCAGTTTAAAGTGTTGAAGTGGCTAATGATTACTAGGGCTGCCCCCTAATAATTGAATAACCATTAGTCAACTAAAAATTTATTATTCATTCATTCATTTTCTTTTTAGCTTTGTCGCTTTATTAATCTGGGGTAACCACAATGGAATGAACCACCAACATATCCAGCATAAGTTTTATGCAGCGAATGCCCTTTCAGCTGCAACCCATCACTGGGAATACTCATTCACACACATACACCATTGACAATTTAGTCTACTTAATTCACCTTTACCACGTCTTTGGAAACCGGGGCACCTGGAGGAAACCCACGCGAACACGGGGAGAACATGCAAACTCCACACAGAAAGGCCTATTGACCCAGCCAAGGATCGATCAAGTGACCTTGTTGCTATGAGGCGAATGTGCTACCCACTAGTTGCAGAAAAAAAGTCCACACTGGCAAAGTCAATGTATGCTGCATGAATCCGCTGTGTAAAAAATATGCTGGATAAGTTGGCGGTTCATTCCGCTGTGGCGACCCCAGATTAATAAAGGGACTGAGTCAAAAAGAAAATGAATTAATGAATAAATGGTTTATTAATAAATCTGTAATTATTCAACTAATGCTTCAAATGAACATCACAAGTCAACCAGACAAATGTTTAGACAAGGGCAGCCCTAATGATTACAATGAACCAAGTAAAATATTATTACATACCTTCAAATGTGGGGATTAACTCCTCAAGATTGCATTCTTTTAGTTTGATTTTCACGCAATTATCCATCTGAAAAAGAATAACAGATAAAAGCGTTTAAGCAAAATTAAGTAAAAAAAGATCATGTTAGCCAAAAGTCACTATATCACAAAAATACTCCTAAATGATAATAATTATCCAGGGTGTCACATAAAACGGTGGTCAAACTTTTTCTTTTTGCAGTCGAAGATGATTAGGTTGGAATTAGCCTTAGCTCAGACATTTCCGTTAGCATGAAACGACCCTTACATAAAGGATTAATTAAAGATAGCTCAAATCACGTCTAGAATGTAAAATGCTCATAGTAAATTAATAACATTTGCTATTCAATGTACAGATGTACAGCTAAACAAAATGTACATGCAGAGCAGGACAATTATTGTATATATTTTGATAAAAAAAAAACATTGTTAGAAGCTGAATTCAACACTTATGCATCAAAGTATTGTCACAAAAATCCATGAACAAACTTAAGAAATACAAGAGTAAAAATACTACTTACTGCTTTACAGTTAACACCCCAGAAAGATCACAAATCACAGTAACGTTACTTACTGTCATCACCTAGCCAACATAAAAATCTGTGTCATTCAAAAGGTATTTTATTACAATAAAAAGCTCCTAAATTATCCTAGGTGTTGTGTTTATAAAGTGGTCATCAAACATGCTTCACGTTAGTTTCATTAGTTACCTTATACTTTTCGAGCTCCTTCCGATGCCATGCGCGCTTACCCGTCCACCGATCAACAGGCTGGGCGTGAGGTGGAGCAACAGGTCGGGCGTGAGGCGAGCACAGGTCAGGAGTTAGGCGGAGCAACAGCTCGGGCGTTAGGCGGAGAAACAGGTCCGGAGAAACAGGTCGCCGTTAGGCGGAGAAACAGGTCCGGAGAAACAGGTCCGGAGAAACACGTCCGGAGAAACACGTCGCCGTTAGGCGGAGAAACAGATCCGGAGAAACAGGTGGCTCGTCAGGCGGACTCGGAGCAACAGTTCAGCCATAATACGAGCACAGGTCAGCGTGAGGCGGAGCAACAAGTCGGCCATCAGGCGGAGAAACAGAAAAAAAGCGCGTGTATATTATACTAAGTAAACTAAGTGTGTTATTTCTTATAAAAATTGTTAAATACACACTAAATAACTTACGTCTCACACAGAATTTCACTCGCTTCCCCTCAAAGACAGCGCAAAGAAAATGGCGGTTTCTCACGTTGATGTCCCTGCATGTTGACGTGACGTGCGTGCTCTCTTTCACGTCCGCGTTCCCAACCCAGCACTGCTGGGTTATAGATAAAGATCGATTTTCAACCCAAATTGGGTTGAATCAACCCAATTTTGTTACCCAGCAGTCTCAACCCAGCATTTGGGTTAAAAAACCAACCCAGCGTTTTTTAGAGTGTAGTGGCGGTCGATATTTCAGTTTCAACAAACAGCGAATTTTCATCAAAAATGTCTTGCTTTCTGTTTAGAAGAAAGAAAACTATGAAGGAAACACCTGAGGGTGAGTAAATAATGAGTGGAGAGCGGGAATGAAAGTACTGTTTATCATAAAAACTTATTTTTAGGTAATGTTTAAGACAGAAGTATTTTTGCTGTGGTTACAATTAGTGTAACTTACTAACTCATGTGCGGCCTATAAATGTAAGGTGATATTTTGAACCAGTGTAGAACAACTTCAAAATAACTAACACCTTATTAATTTTAAGTTTTTTAAGTAATTTTAATTTTAATTTTTTTAATTTTAAGTAATTTTAAGGTTCTCTCCTAGGACAGCATGCCAAACCTGCTATTATTATCAAGCAATATCTAAGTGTGAACTCTTGAATTTCTCATTTAGGTCTGGAGGAGGAGAGAAAGAAGGAGAGGGAGGAGGAGAAGAAAAAGAAGGAGGAGAAAAAGAAAAAGAAGGAGGAGAAGGAAAAGAAAAAGAAGGAGGAGAGGAAAAAGAAAAGAAGCCGGATTGCTTCCTTCTTCAAATCAATGTTCTGCCTCTCTCTGGGTAATTCAACAGATACATGCTATGATGATGAAAACTCATATTTACTTCTAGATACATTTTAGACTGTAATGCTTTAAATAAACTACTTTATTACCTGGTCTTAGAGTTTAACGTCTGCATGAAAATGACTGTGGACAATGTGAAAACTGCAATCATTTCTCTTTTAACAGATGTGGAGGAGAGTATAATGGTGGTGGAGGAGGACAAAAATCAGGGAGAAAACTTGGAGGAGGAGCAAAAAACACTCCCCATGTCAACAGAACAAAGTTCTGATGGTAAATCAACATATATACGTCTATATATATCAATTTGTCACTAATGTTATTAATAAAATTGTTATTCTAAATTGTTATTTTCTCCTCATCTGGAATTTAACATCCTCTGAATGTGTAAACTGCAATCATTTCTATTTTAACAGATTTTGAAGAAGACATCATGAAGGAGGAAGAGGAGAACTTGAAAGAAGAGGAGGAAAGAAAGATGAAGGAAAAAACTGTGAAAGAGAAAGAGACAATAAAAGAGGAGGAGGAGGAAATGGAGAGAGTTAAGGTGGAGGAGAAGATGGTGCAGACAGAGGAAGAGGAGATGGAGGAGGTGAAAATCAAGAAGAGAAGGAGGAGGAGGATTATGAAAGAGGAGATAATACAGGAGGAGGAGAATATAATTGAGGAAGAGGAGGAGGAGATGAGTGAGGAGGAGGACAAGAAAACTCAGGAAGATAAGTGGAAGAACAAAAGACGGAGGAGGGGGAGAAGTCATGGAAAGAAACAGAAGGAGACGATAAAGGAGGGGAAGAAGAAAAAGGTTGTGAAAAAGAGGTCAAAGAAGGAAAGACAGAGGAGGAGATGGAAAAGTAAGAGAATGAATTTAGAGTGGATGAACAAAGAGGACGAGAAGATCAAGAAGGACTGGGAGGAGATATTGAAGGAGGAAGAGGAGTATGTTGGGTGTTATGTGAAGTCAGCATTACATGCTAAAGCACAGACTGTTTTGTTGCAGTGTGGGGGTGACGGACTGTATAAAGTGTTATAAAGGGCTGGGGGCTGACTTTTGTTGTTTTTGTTCAATGTTAAATAAACTGAATGCAAAACTCAAATACTGTCCTGGTCATTTTTTCACATGTTTTATTTTCACGCTTTCTTTTTTATTCTGATAGAGGTGAAATAGTAATATGTGTTTGTTTAATGTTCAGCCACTTGAATAAAAAATGACAATCAACATCCTCATATTGTATTTAATTGAGGTTTAAATATTCAATTTTAGTGACATTTTATGCAGGAATTTGTGTGCTGCACTTGCTGCTGCTTTTTGACTCTTTGTATTTGATTATCTTTTTTATATACACGATTATGCCATCAAACTGTTGTGTTAACATAATATCACATGAGTAATGTGATGTGGCTTTATATCGTCACTGGTGGGACACTAAGGCACAACACACGCCTCCCAACAGTGCTGATATACAGCCACATCGCACTGCTATTTGTGTGATGTGGCTCATATATATATATAATTATAATATATATAATATAATTTCTCAATTTTATAAATAATAAATAGACATGATTTGATTTAAATTATCAAAAAGAAAAATGTAATTAAAAACCACCTGCTATGCAACATGTTTCACAAAATTATATTAAAAAAAAATACATCAATATTTATTGACTTGCAGTATTATATCTCTACACATCTAGTTTCAGTGCTCAAAGTGTCAGATATTCAACTTGAAATGTCTCAGAATGGTTAAACCGGTCCTGTTTAAAACTGAATTAAACAAATCAGTTGCAATGTTCTTTTCTAAAACAAACATAACAAATAATCTAACAGACGTCTATGTGGCACAAAATACAAATTGTATCTGAATTTATATATCTTGGGGTTGAAATTGACTCAAAATTAACTTTTAAATCACAAATTAAAAAGATATGTAACTGTGTTAAATTTAATATCTCTAATTTCCGGTTCAAAAGGTCACATTTATCACTTCAGGTAGCAAAAATATTCATGCATTCAATGATTTTTTTCACATATAACCTACTGTCTAAGAAGCTGTTCACAGGCAAACAAAACAACACTAAAACCCACAGAGTCACTTTACAAACGGACAATTAAAATACTGGATAAAAAGCCTCTAAGACGTCATCATTGTAACATTTTACAAAAACATAAATTGTTAAGCTGAGAAAATGTCATTAAGTATTCAAACATTTGTCTGATGTATAAAATCATTCATGGTCTGTCATCCCCACCTCTCAGTCAGTTTGTAAACATCAGGAACACCACACACAGAGCAACACGAGGGGCAGCCCGTATTGACTATTGTCCCACTCCGGAAAAATACCTTTGGTCAGGGTGCCTTTTCAGTTACAGCTGCACAGGAGTGGAATTCTGTCCCTGGCAGCATCACAGATTTAATCCCCTTTAATATGTTCAAAAAACATTTCAAAATTTGGTTAATAGAGAATCAGACCTGTCATCATTCTGATTAGATTGAAACTAGCATGTTTCCATTTGTGCCTACCATATTAATGATTTGTTGTTTAAATGTGTTTTTTATTGTATCTCTATTACAAAATGTCTGTGTTTTAGTTTAATTTGTAATTATATAATTTTTTTATTAACATCTACATAACTATGTATATTTTAGTTCTTCTTAGCTATGTTTGATTGATTGTATAATTCTTGCAGGGCGACGTAGTGGCGCAGTAGGTAGTGCTGTCGCCTCACAGCAAGAAGGTTGCTGGGTCGTTGGTTCGATCCTTGGCTCAGTTGGTGTTTCTGTGTGGAGTTTGCATGTTCCCCCTGCCTTCGCGTGTGTTTCCTCCTGGTGCTCCGTTTTCCGCCTCAGTCCAAAGACATGCAGTACAGTTGAATTGGGTAGGCTAAATTGTCCATAGTGTATGAGTGTGGGTGTGGATGTTTCCCAGAGATGGGTTGCGGCTGGAAGGGCATCCGCTGCGTAAAAACTTGCTGGATAAGTTGGTGGTTATTCCGCTGTGGCGACCCCGGATTAATAAAGGGACTAAGCCGACAAGAAAATGAATGAATTAATAATTCTTGCATCGTTTTTTAGGTTGTTCAGAGAAAACAGATGAAAAATAGCCTTCTGGCTAATTCTGGTGAATTTGCAGAAATGCTAATTAAATGTACACTGTCTCTGACAAAAAAAAAAAAAAAAGTAGCTGGCAAACATTGACATTAAAAAGCAACAGCCCTAACTGGTAACAGCACACTGAGTTCAGCCTCTTCCTTCAGCACCTAGAAAAGTATGATAATAACAAATTAACAAAAGGAACTTGATATTTATAAAACATACAAATACAGCTACTCCTAAATAATAGTTTTAGTTTTATGCCACAGTTCACCCCTTCTGGTTATTTCACTCATGAGCACGTAAAGAAGCAGGGACCCTTTTCACAAGACACGTTTAACGGTCATCAGTATCTTAAATCCTTTAAACGTTTTTAATATTAAGATTTTAAAAAACATGAATATAGATGTATTTATGTACAGTATGTGTTATATCATCTTTACATCAATTTACAAAAAAATTAATTAGCGCTTATGCAAAGCGCTTCTAATGCAGAGTGTATGGGCAGGACAGTAAATCTCAAAATATGCTTTTATTCCGAAAACGTAGCCCTATATACATTTCTGGGGATTGCAAATTATGTAGCCAGAGCTACATATGGCTACATTTTGTCTTTAAAAATGAATGCTTCGGGGCGATATGACGTCATTACTATTCTTGCACACAGCTGACCACTTACCTCCATATAGATGGCTTCCCTGCTAAAACCAGTTCATCCAGTGGCTTGCCATGTACGTCAGTGGACGAAAAGAGGGGTTGACCACGACGACGGGGTTCGAGTCTGGTAAAGAACAGTTCCAGAAAGTGTGTAAGACAAAAACAGAATCCAAAAATATTAAATAAACAAGTAAATAACAGGGTGAGAATGTGGTAAAATCTAAAAACGTGCACTGTAAAACACAACCTATAGAATCTACCAAATAAAATTGAAGTAACAGTTTGCACTCACTTCCTTAGGGTAGATTCTATCACAAATATTTGGCATGGTATCTAAATGTAATAGTGGTAACATACCAAAAGAAATTAGGTAAGATCTAACAAATAATTCTAATTAGTAATTACTTCTAAACTTGAGTAACATTTACTCTGCTTTAGCAGCAACAGTTCCTTACTACCATAATACTAATAATAAATTAATTAGCCAATACAAATGATTACATAATACTTATTTTGTAAAGGGTATGTTTAGTAAAAAAAAATTGTCAAGACACAGGAAATACTAATAATTCCATTTTTATTGAACAAATAATATAGAAAACATTTTAAGCAAAATACAGTGTTACAATGCATTACAGTGTTACATATATCTTACATGATCACAGAAAAATAAAGAAAAGTCTAATAATGACAAATTATACATAATTTAAACAATTTAAACCTAACAACACAAACAATTTAAACAATTATGACAACACTCATCTGCTGGCTCCTTCTCTGCTGTGGGACTGTGAATCACCAACAACCTCATGATTTCATTTGTGTTGCCTTCAAGTTCGACCTCCTGTTGAAATAAAATAAAATATAATACATTTTTAATGTTAATTCAAGGAAATCAGCATAATGTTTGAATGGTTGTTTTAATAGTTAATGTCAACTGTTTGAACACAAACAAGATTTCTGTTAATCAGCACTTCAATACAAAAACGGGAAACTAATTAAAATCAAACCAAAATACTTCAAAGGAAAAAATATAAATCGATGTATAGTTAAAGGTAAAACAAATGAATCACAACTTAGTTAAGATATTAAAAATAAGATATTTTAAAAATAAGATATTTTTAATGATAAATGACAGATTTCTGAAGTCTATTCATCCAAAACTCTGACACTTCATAAACTTCATAAAGACATTTTACAATAAATACATTTGAAGTGTTTAATCTAAATTCTCAGAAGAAAATGTGATGAAAATTTAACATACACTCAAAAAACTTTTGCTGTTTGTTCAAACTATCTATATAAAATGAGCTGAAACAACACAATTCTTGTGCCTTTTTGGGAACAACTGAATTATTTTATGTTCAGTCCACTTAAATTAACTTAATTTCATCCTGTTTTCACCAAATAAAAATCGATTATGTGGAACCCAGAATTTTAAAAATAAATGCTGGGTTAAACACAATCGATTTGTGTTGGCACAACATGATGAAATTAAGTTAATTTATTAGTTTTTAACAAATTTAAGTGGATTAAACAAAACAGTTTAACAGAATTGTGTTGTTTCAGCTCATTTTAAAGTAGTAGTTTAAACAAACAGCATCATTTTTAAATGTATTCTTTTGTTATCATGTAAACAATGATCAGCACTAGTAGGGTTCATTCTCATTTCAGCTGCTTTAAAAAAATTGCTTTCTTTGAGCAAGTATGTTTGTGCTTCTTTTTGTTCAGCATCAAAAGGTTTGCATGAACAGATTTTCACTTGAAGGAAGAATAGGTCTTACAATACAAACAAGTATGCTACCTAAATACTCTGACTATTTACTAAAGATTAGGTATTGTATTGGTTGCTTAAATCATGGTGATCAATAAGGGAAATAAAACACTGTGTATCCAAATGTGAAAAAAATGTGCACACTGAACTGACAAATCATTTATCAACATACCTGGCAGTCTTGGAGCTCCTTTTCAAGGCACTCTGAGGTAGATAAGCAAAGGCATGCATTTTACAGTGACTCTGTGAGCTGTGCATTGTAACTTGAGGAAAAAATATCATTGATCTGTAAATAACGACAATGATAAAATAGGGTTATAAATGGATCCCTTCTAACACAAAGGCTGACCAGAAAATTAAAACACATATAAAACCTATTACTTTCGATTTGTTAAATAAATGTATGAATTGTGAAGGGATGTTCGGTATTATTCTGCAAATCGGTTCCTTCCTTCGGTTCAATTCAATGAATCGGTTCAATGGACTTTTTGCACAGAGTAAACATATTCCACAAACACTAGTAATTAAATATATTATTATACCCTCTATTCATGCCATCAGTTCGTCCCTGTTACAAAGTCAATCGCGGTCTCAGTAGGTGTCATCAGCTTTGGGTGTGTCTGACAGAGACTCGGTTCAGAGCTGATGATTCGAGAACGTGTGTTAGCCTTAAGCAACGTTAGCAGTTACGTTAGCAGACACAGGAAAGCACATAAAGTAAAATGATCAATATTTGAGTATACCTTTTAACAAAACAAGCTTACATATGCATTCATGTATAAAAAAAATTAACAAAAACTCACTGTTTAACTTGACAAAAGAGAAGCCGCCTCTCCACTGCAGCCATGACACCGAAAATGATGAATTCCACATTGCCACCTAGACTTTGACGCAAACGCAATTGGTGCTTTTGAAAACACTATTGGTTGAGTTTAGGCAAGGAGGAGGGTGGGTCAGTCTATCGTTCAGTCGACAGCAGCCTCTGGTGGATTTACGAGAGAACAGCAGGCACGAATGGCACTCGCAAGAGAAATTTGAGATCTCAAAAAGCGTACACAGCAGCCTCTGGTGGATTCACAAAAACAAAAACTGCAAAAAAAAAAAAAAAAAAAAACACGTAGCTCCTAGGCTAATTTTGGTCAATTTGATGTTTTCTTCTGGCTGCCAATTATCTGTCACTATTTTTTCCTTTTTCTGAAAGTCTTGTTAAATTTGTTAAATTTTTAAATTTTTCTTTTATTATTTCAGCAAAAAGGATTGTATTACATATATTGTATTTAACAAAAATATATTAAGGGTGTCACGATCCTCCAAATTCTCGATTCGATTACATTTTTGATTCTGAAGGCACGATTCGATTCGATTCGATTATGAATAATGAATTAATTAATGACCAATTAATTATTTGTAGCCTACCGTTTAAACTACATGACCTGCATGGTCTTTGTTTTAACCATAAACAAATCATACAGTAAACGAATAAAGGCAAGTTACACACATAATTACTACCTGTCAGTCACTTTTTCTGCGGGACTCGTGAATAGGCAGTGATCTGTGTCGTTATAATGGCGTCGGTAAAAAAGACGCACAACCAACAGGAACCAGCCAACAGTATCTGAGGTGTTCGCTAAAATGACAAAGTACAAGTGAGTGAAAGATTGAAGCAGTCCTCTGACTGCCTGGACCTGCTGTCTCGAGCGCATGGCTGTGAGTGCGTCTGTGTGGTCACGTGATGTGCATTTTCAGAGGTAGAGAGGAAGGAGGGCTGCTCAGAAATGCTACACGCCACTGTGGATGTCAAATCGTTGTCGTTCTAAAATGCCATTTAAAAACAAAGACAGTGTAAACAGGGCCTGAGTGTGTACTTTTCGCAAGCAGATTTGCAACGGGGGCGGGCGGAGGATCGCGATGCCGGTGTTGTCTATCGGATGAACCGTACGTAATACGTACATAGCAGAGCTTGCAAAATTGTATTTTTTTGTCGACAACACGAACGTTGTCAACATAACTCACTGGAAATCCAAACTGCTTACACACAGGCGACTTCATTGAAAGAGGAGAGGGTTTAAGTTCTGTCGACGGGTCTCCTGCTTCTGCAGTTTAACAAGCACTTCAACAAGCCTGTTTTTTTCCCGCTTGCAAAGCCAAGCTGACATGACATGGGGGCGTGGCAGCATCGACGATTCTATTTTTTGATTCGATAATCGAAATTGAGCATAAATTTCGATCGATTTCGATTTAAAATCTAAATCGTGACACCCCTAATATATAAATATATATATTTGTTGTACTCTCCCATTCACTGCACTCTAGGTTTACTCAACTATGACGACTTCCACTGCTGTGAAACCCAGACATGTGAAAACGATTCAACAGTGATTTCTTTATCTGAGAGGCACTGTAAAGAACATTAAACGTTCATTTGGCTTCTTGAGAGGAACGGAATCAAACTATAAAACAAAACACTCAACTATATATAATAAACACGGTAAGTTTTTTTTTCTGGAAAACTCTGCTTTGCATGTTATTTTTCAGCAAAAGTGTGAATGAATTAATGGTGTGTCTTTATAGTACTAACAGGACAGGTTATCAGTTTAGCTTTATAGATGTACACACACACAAAACACACCTGATATAAGGTTAAAGTCTGAAGTCCAGAAAATATGGGAGAAAATCGGACATGTCTGAAGGTGCCAATACCAAACAGCAACCTCTAAAAACCTTATCTTTAATATTATTATTATTATTTATTGAGCATTTCTGAGACATACTGCGTATGAACACCTTTGATATTCACTAACAGGTAAGTTTGGTCTATATCTGTTTCTAATAAGATAAACAATACCACATAAAAGCATGTTTGCTATTATTATAAGTGGTCCGACTTTATTTTAGGTCACCTCAACTACATGTACATGCATCAAAAAATAAAAACAATGTACTTACTGTGTTCACAATGTATTGTAGAAGATTTCTGGTGCTCTTGAAAGGGGATTTGGGTAGGTTTAGAGACAGGTTTGGTGGTATGGGTAGGTTTAAGGAAGAGTTAAGGTGTAAGGGATGATCAACAGTGTAATTACAGAAATGAATTACAGATGAAATTACATGAAGGCATTTAATCAGTCATAGGTACGATATAAAACATGTATTTACACAATAAGTACATTGTAGTATTCATTTCAATGTAAGTACAGTGGCGCAGTAGGTAGTGCTGTCGCCTCACAGCAAGAAGGTTGCTGGGTCGCTTGTTCGAACCTCGGCTCAGTTGGCGTTTCTGTGTGGAGTTTGTTCTCCCTGCCTTCGCGTGGGTTTCCTCCGCGTGCTTCGGTTTCCCCCACAGTCCAAAGACATGCGGTACAGGTCAATTGGGTAGGCTAAATTGTCCGTAGTGTATGAATGTGTGTGTGGATGTTTCCCAGAGATGGGCTGCGGCTGGAAGGGCATCTGCTGCGTAAAAACTTGCTGGATAAGTTGGCGGTTCATTCTGCTGTGGCGACCCCGGATTAATAAAGGGACTAAGCCGACAAGAAAATGAATGAAGTTCATGTTGGTTACATTTAACTTAAATGTTAATTAATACATTAATTAACAACATGTACTAACAAGTAATTAAGGTAGCCGTTATTCACACATGAACTCATGTGAGTCATGTTGTAGTTAAAGTTAATTTATGATTAGTGCATACCTTAACTCATTAGTAATTCATAATAAGGTGTAGTTTACATATTAATACATCATTATTCATGTACTGTTATTGTAAAGTGTTACCGTGTGCCCTCATACGTTTATTTACCAAGAACTGTATGGAAAGCAAGGGTGTAGAATTGGCATGGACAGAAGGGACATGTCCACACTAATATCCAGCAATTACAGAAATGTCCCTACCAATAATTTAATTGCCTTCAAAATAAATAAATGCTCAGGCAACCCTTAGTAACCTAGATCTGCTCAAAGGGTAAATTCATAGACATATAATAGATAATAGGGGTTAAAATGGTTAAATTGCATCACATACCTCTTTAAACTTCGGTACATTCTTACCTCCTCAAACCCGGACTACAGTAAAATCATATGAATTGAATTTTGCAGCATAGGGCATGCTTTATTAATAGTTATTTGTATTATTAAGTGTTTAAATGTTTTTAAAAGCACGAAACAGAATTTGTGCTGTTCAGTACATGCGCTCTAGGGATGTACTTCCCCACCAATATCAAGAGCAAATCTACACCCTTGGAAAGTTTGATTTGTCTGATTGAAAAGCTTACCGTATTTATATTTCTGTAAAATAAAACTCAATGCAGCAAGAGTGTGAACTGCTGATAGACGGAACACAATGAAGACTGCAACACTTGAATTAGAATTGAAATTGCACTTGAATTGTAATGATGCTGTCCAGTTTATTTGACTTTTGATGCAAAACACTTATTAAAAGCTGTAATCATTCAGTCATTTACTTTTCGGCTTAGTTCCTTTATTAATCAGGGGTCGCCACAGCGGAATGAACCGCCAACTTATCCAGCATATGTTTTACTCAGCGGATGCCCATTCAGCTAAAAGCTGTAATTATGAATTTATATTATTTATATGACCTAAAATATTATTTGTGGAGTTCTTGCATTAATATAGATGTCACATTAATAATCAATAGTAAAAATACAATTGATGTAGTAGGATGTTGAAGTTATACAAAGACCGGCTTTTGTTGACTTGAGGACAACAAAACGAAAACAAATTTTAGGATGAAATTAAATGTGCTGTCATTTTTCCCCCCTGGAAATGCAGAAAAGCAATGGCACAGTCTTTACCAACATTATCAAAGCGACCAGCAGAGACCAGGAGATGCAGTAAAGATGAACCTCCATGTGAGTCTATCTTGAGTTAGTTGTTAAACAAATCATTTAAAACAATTTGTTCACCAACACTTACTTTTTTTGTACACTGTGTTGGTCAAATACAAAACAGATAATTGCCAGTGTTGTATCTAAATCCCTTTTTATGGTTCAATTCTATATTAGGTGTCATTACTACTATGTGTCATGATCACCAGCGATCTAAAACACCCGGGATCACTGAAAAACATTCACACTCAAGCTGCGGTCACACAGACTTTTCCTCCCATAGACTTCCATTCGTACGGACACGAATGCGTCAGACTGGAATGCGGGATCATGCATAAGGATGCGAAATCGCATCACTTGACTGCGTGAGACCAAACGAGGATCAAAACATAACATCTCTGGACAGACATTTAAAACATGGAGCAATCGCTCGCCCCTTTTCGCTGCGCTGCACGACAGAATTTCGCATTATCAAACTCTAGTGAAGGGTTGGCCACCCCTTCACTAGTGTGACTGCAGCTTAACATGAACTACAATCCTGCCCTACAATGGTCTATAAAAGTCATGCACCACACACACACAACCGGTTCCAGATCCTGACTGAATACACTCTCACAGCTGATGCTGCTCAATGACTGATTACACACACATATATTCGGCTCACTTTGGGGCGTGATTAGGGGGCCCCGCGATGTCGCGATTATCAAAAATTGAAAATCCGGCAACCGCAATAATCAAACCCCTGGGAACAACTGTGGTTGGAACCAAAGTTTACAGGTCTGTGTTCTCTGAACTCCTCTCAAATAGTGGACTACTTCATTCTGATTGCTTGCCGCCGAACCACGTCATAGCTCATACCATAAAGTTGGCTTGATTTTAAGTCCTCCTCGACGCCCACACCGGAGAAGACACGCCGCGCTGCTCCTCGCCACCGGTTCTCATTGAAAATGAATGACTTCCGGCTACTTTGACGCTCTCGCCGCTTGTTTGTGAATGCCACCCTGCGTCATCGCTCCACCCGCCCCCCTTTCCCGCTCCTTAGTTTGTTATCGCTCCTCAGTTTGTGAAGGCTTTCCCGTGTTGTCACTCCGTCCGCCCCTTAAAGGACTCGCACATTTTACAACACTTGTTATCTGTTAAGTGACATTACAATGCATTTTCCTTGCCTTCCGTGTTTTAAATCTTTGCTTTGTTTTGTTTGATTATTCCTGTATGCTGCCTGCCTATTGACCATTTGCCAGCTATTTCGACTACGACTCTGGATTGCCCTCTTATATCTGTTTGCTCCTGTGTTGATCATTGCTTGCCTGACCATCCTGTCAATAAAACCCTGCATTTGGATCCTTACCCCTATTGTCAGTGTCACATCCCCTCGTTACACTATGTAATATGTAGTTTGCCTTAACTAATTGTATAATTTTATAAAGGTCATTGATTATGTGTATATGCTTTTTATGGTTTAACTTAAAATTATATATGATTATATCTTTCATTATTTTCTGAAAATACATCTCTGTGACCCTCAATTATTCTAATACCCTAACCATATCCCAATTCAAAAACAGGAAAAGTACAATAAGTATGTTATACTACACTTTTTGTAAATAGTTAAATATGCTTAATATGAAGACTTTCTGTATAATATCTGTAAAAATGAACAGGACGTGATATATTTGTATTATTTCTCTTCTCTTCAGCTCTGTCATCCTCCATGAGTCCTCTGTTTGAGGAGCTTCAGTGTTCGGTGTGTCTGGATGTGTTCACTGATCCCGTCAGCACTCCATGTGGACACAACTTCTGTAAGAGCTGCCTGAACTCGAGCTGGGAGAACAGTCAGGTCTGTAGCTGTCCATTGTGTAGAGAAAGATTCAGCGATAGACCTGACTTGAAGATCAACACAGGGCTTAGACAGCTTGGCCAACTCTTTAAGGAAAGGTTGACCTTGAGAATATCTGGGGTTCTCTGTGACATCTGTGAAGGGAGAAAGATGAAAGCCCTGAAGTCCTGTTTGACATGTCAGACTTCATACTGTGAAACTCACCTGGAGCCTCATCTGAGAGTCCCGAACTTCAAGAAACACAAACTGATGGAGCCTGTGAAGAATATAAAGGACTACATATGCCAGAAACACGAGAGACCTCTGGAGCTGTTCTGTAGAGATGATCAGATGTGTGTTTGTGTGTTTTGCACTGATGGAGACCACAAGACTCACAACACTGTTCCTCTAGAGGAGGAGAGTAAAGAGAAGAAGGTATGAGTTACTCCCAATAGGAAACCTTACTTTGGTAACTTGGTAGAAATGTTTCCAGAAGATCTTCTGTTAGATGTAAAATCATGAATGAGCAATTGTGTGTGTGTGTCTCTATATAGATTCAGATGATAAAGACTCAAACAGATGTGCAGCAAATGATCCAGGACAGAGTCAAGAAGATTCAAGACATCGAACACTCAGCAGACCTCAGAAAGGTGAGATGAAATGTTCAATATTTGATGGATGATATGTAGATTTCTTTTAATAAAATATAACTGTGTATTTCAGAAAAGCACAGAGCGAGAGAAAGCATCCAGGTTACAACTCTTCAGTGATTTAATGCGCTCCATTGAGAGATGTCAGGCCGAGCTGCTGGAGATGATGGAGGAGAAGCAGAAAGCAGCAGAGAAACAGGATGAAGAGCTGATTCAAGAGCTGCAGCAGGAAATCAATGAGCTCAAGATGAGAAGCTCTGATTTGGATCATCTCTCAAGCACTGAGGATCATCTTCAGCTTCTACAGGTCAGTGTCTCTCTGTCTGCTCACATCACAGGACAACAAACACTCCTCCAGCTGAATGATTTCTTCTCCCTCCTGCTGTAGATTTACCCATCCATATGCAGCCCACCAAACCTCAAGAACTGGCCTGAAATCAGTATGAACACTGATGTGAGCTTGGAGACTCTGAGGAGAGCTCTGACTCAACTGCAGGAAACTCTGGACCAGAAACTCAGTCAAACAGGTAGATCAATATCAAATACAAAAAGACCCATTGTGCTGCTATCGCATTATTTTGTTTAACAATAAATATTACACCATGGATCCAGCTCCGTCTCTGAGTTCAGTATGCTATTGTGAAAATAATACCAACAAATCATAAATACAAACATTAACCCTAAGCAAACATGAACAACAAACTGATGTCTCAGGCTTCGTCAGTCCTCTTTCAATCCTTCTGGAGCTCAAATATCAAAACAGGCTCTTTCTTAATACGTACCTTCCTCTACATTTCTGGAGAGCACAAATTATGTAGCCAGAGGTACGTGTGGCTGCATTTTGTCTTTAAAATGAATGCTACGCGATGATAAGATGCAGCTTTTGTGTATTTTTGTGCTACTAGCTGACCACTTACCTCTGTATGGACCGCTTTTGCGCTGTTACCAGTTTGCCCAGTAGCTCACCATGTAAATCGGCAGACTTGGAAGGTGGAAAGAAGTTGGCGCGATGACAGGGTTCAAGTTCGGCGAAGAGCGGTTTCAGAAAGCAGGTAAAACTAAAGGCAAAAAATAAACAAGTAAATAACAGGGTGAGAACGTGGTAAGATCTGAAAATGTGGTAAAAACCAGGCAGTCGCGAAGGCTTTCCTTTTTCTGGATTGCTTTTCAAAACACTGTGGGTTTAGGGAAGGCGGTGGGTGGGAGGATCGGTTGGTGTGTTAGTCAGTCGACAGAGGCCTTTGGTGGCTTTATGCAAGAAAATCAGGCGCATAGGGCACTTTCGAGAGAAATTTGATATCTGAAAAAGCGCAAACAGCAGCCTCTGATGGATTTGTGAAAGCAAAAACTACATTAAAAAGTAACTCCTAGGACGTATTATTCGCTCTTCAGAAATTTATACAGGAGTACATATCCACAATGACTCTGGGTTGTCCTATACAGTACTCAAGAGGAGTGTGATGCACACACATTAATGCCATTGGCAGCACTTCTCATAACAGTATAATTCAGTCTCAGAATAAGTAGCTGGTCAAATCTCAGCTCAGCAGGTTAATATGTATAGTATAGTTCAGTTCAGCACTGGTAGAAGACAAAATCTATCCTGAATCATAGACAATAAAAAAGCTAAACTTATGCCTAAAACATTTTTTTTTTCATTAAACCTGTTTTAAAAAGTTTAATTGTAGTGCATGTGATGTAGGAGCGGTGCAGTGGCACAGTGGGTTACCTCACAGCAAGAAGATTGCTGGTTTAAGCGTCGGTTGGGTCAGTTGGTATTTCTTTGTGGAGTTTGCATATTCTCCCCATGTTCATGTGGGTTTTCTCCGGGTGCTCTGGTCTCCCCCACAGTCCAAATACATGCGGCATAGGTGAATTGGGTAAGCTTAATTTTCCGTTGTGTATGCGTGTAAATGAGAGTGTGTGGGTGTTTCCCAGTGATGGGTTGCAGCTGGGAGGGCATCCGCTGTGTAAAACATATGCTGAACTAGTTGGCGGTTTATTCCGCTGTGGCGACCTCAGATTAAGAAAGGAACAAAGCCGAAAAGAAAACGAATGAATGAATGAAAACCTGTAACCATCGACATCCATGGTTTTTGTTTTTCATATTGTTGATGTCAATGTGTACGCTGTGTACGCTTTTTGAAATCTCAAATTTCTCTCGCGAGTGACATTTGTGCCTGTTGTTCTCGTGTAAATCCACCAGAGGTGCAATCGACTGACTGACTGACTAATCAACTGACCTACCCACGTCCTTCCCTAAACTCAACCAACAGTGTTTTCAAAAGCACTGATTGACCCGGCCAGCCACTTCCCTAAACCCAACCGACAAATTTAAAGCAAGCCAGAAAAAGAAAAGTCCTCTTCTGATTTTTACCACGTTTTACAACATTCTTACCCTGGTATTTTCTCATTTATTTAATTTTTTTGGCGTCTGTTTTTGTCTTACCTGCTTTTTGAAACCATTCTCCACCAGACTCAAACCCGTTAGGTAAGCGGTCAGCTGTTAAGCGCGAAAAGGAACCGTGTCACACCGCCCGTTGCGTCGTGCAGCCATATGTACTTCAGGCTACATAATTCGTCAGTCTCCAGAAATGTATATAGGACAACATTTTCAGATTGAACCTATGTTGAGACCATCAGTCAGTTAAACATTTTTATACTACATGAATTTAAAGATAATGTCTTCTTATTATTTATTTTAACAGTGTTGAAGAGGATGCAGCACTATGCAGGTACAGTGACAGATCACAATAATAGTTTTAAAAACATTTACAAACAATTTACAAACATTTACAAACAAGTAATGTTTAAAAACATTAACAATATTGTATTGAGAAGCTGTGATTTATATCTCTTATTCTCAGTGGATGTAACTCTGGATCCTGATACAGCTAATCCATTTCTCATCCTGACTGATGACGGGAAACAAGTGACACATGGAGACACTAACCAAAATCTCCCAAACAACCCACAGAGATATGATCAATGCAACACTGTCCTTGGAAAAGAGGGATTCTCCTCGAAGAGATTTTATTTTGAGGTGCAGGTGAAAGAAAAGACTAAATGGGATTTAGGAGTGGCCAGTGAATCTGTTAAGAGGAAGGGAAAGATCACACTCAGTCCTCAGCACGGATACTGGGCTGTGGGTCTGAGGAATTCTGATGTGTATTGGGCTTTTGATGCTCCAGCTGTCCGTCTGTCTGTAAGAGAAAAACCGCAGAAGGTTGGTGTGTTTGTGGATTATGACGACGGGCTGGTCTCCTTCTATGATGTTGAGTCAAGATCTCACATCTACTCTTTCACTGGACAATCTTTTACAGAGAAACTCTATCCTTTATTCAGCCCATGCATTAATGATGAAGGTAAAAATTCAGCACCGCTGATCATCTCAGCTGTTAAATCCATTGAATAATTGCACACTCAAAATACAGTAACCGGCCACTTTATTAGGTACACCTTACTAGTACTGGGTTGAATGCCCTTTTGCCTTCAGAACTGTCTTAATCCTTTGTGGCATCGATTCACCAAGGTACTTGAAATATTAAATATTGAAAGAAATTTTGGTCCATATTGACATGGTATTGACGTGTTGTGTGATCAGAGATGCTCTTCTGAAGACCTTGCTTGTAATGAGTGCTTGTTTGAGTTACTATTGCCTTTCTATTAACTCAAACCAGTTGGTAGGTAGGCTACTACCGCTCACTGGATATTTTCTCTTTTTCTGACCATTCTCTAGAGATGGTTGTGCTTGAAAATCCCAGTAGATCAGCAGTTTCTGAAATACTCAGACCAGCCTTTCCAGCACCAACAACCATGCCATGTTCAAAGTCACTTAACTCACAGTTCCTCCCCATTCTGATGCTCGGTTTGAACTGCAGCATATCGTCTTGACCATGTATATATGTCTAAATGCATTGAGTTGCTGCCATGTGATTGGCTGATTAGAAATGTGAGTTAAAGAGCAGTTGGACAGGTGTATGCCATATATACTATTTTATTCAGATAGATTTGTTTTTTGTGGTTATTCTTAACTGTCTGGCTTAGTCCACATTAAATCCAAAATTACAGTGTTTATTTGCTAACTCACATTGTAATTCTTCAGGTAAATAGTTAATCTGTGTCAGTTAATCCACTGAAAAATACTTTGTTTTGGTAATCTTATATCAAAGTCTGACCATTTGCTTCCACCCTTGAAGTAGCAATCCTTGTGTTGATATCAAATTTGAGGGCTTCAATAGCAACATTATATTAATATCCTTAACCACGCCCCTCTTACCGGTAGTTTATGAGGGAATGATGCATAATACAAAGCTCCGCCCCCCTAATCAATATTCTGTTTCAGTTGGAAGCACATCAAAATACAGAAAAATAGTGTCTTTGCAACTTCCTGTTCATGCAGGATTCAGCATATATATGTATATATATATATATATATATATATATATATTGTACTTCATTTCTAATTCTACATAAAAATATATGCATTTGCACTATATGTCCGAAGAAGGTCACAGTTGTTGACATTAAATCTCTTCACATTTATCTGGCAACAAAAAGTCTTTTTGTTAGACAATTTTTGTGTGAAACATCACAGAAAATTTGTATTGGGTTGGGTTGTGTAACAATAAAATCCTACATTGCAAAACAGATTTTTTTTTTAGTCCGACACAAAGCACTTTATAGGACTAACAGGAGAGGAGACCTGTGGAGCTTTATAGATGCACACAGAAACACACCTGATATAAGGTCAAAGTCTGAAGTTCAGAAAATATAAGAGGAAATCTGACATGTCTGAAGGTGGAACTACCGAACAACAGTCTTAAATAAAGATATAACTTGAAATAATCGAAAAAATATTAAGACTTCTTGTGAACACAGCTGATATTCACTCACAGGTGAGTTATGGAAATCTTTATTCAATGTTATTGAAATGGTTAAGTAGAGTACTTTTAATTGACTTAGCTGGTCAATACTAGATTGCTATTATTAGTTTTTTTAATAAGAAATGTTTGAGAAGTGTTAAAATGTTCTTATCATTGTAAAACAAAACTCAACGCATCAAAAGTGTGAACTGTGGACAGATAGAACACAATGGAAACTTGGATTAAAAAAATGAAATACATTTCTGTATTTGAATGCCAATTTATTTGACTTTTAGACATACAAATCAAATATTTAGGTGTGTGTGTGTGTGTGTGTGTGTGTGTGTGTGCTTGTGTGTGTGCGCGTGTGTGTGTGTGTGTGTGTTCTTGTGGGGAATGTTAATGATTTGTGTAGAGTATTTTATTGGATGACTTGACAACAAGAAGGTGAACAAATCTTGGGATGAAATATGAGTTGTGTTTTTTTTTCTCTCCTGGAAATGAAGAACAGAAATGGCAAATTCTTTACCACCACCATTACCAATGCGAACCACCAAGAGACTAAGCATGGACAGATCTCTCTGTGAGTCTATTTTGAGTTAGTCATTAAATAATTCATTTACCTGATTTGTTCAGAAATATATATTTTTTGATGGGGGCCACAACTGTGTTGGTAAAAAATAATCACTAATGTTGTACCTAAATCATTTAATATGGATCTACTATATATAACCAGCCCATGCTCATTCTGAAAATGTACCCCTATATATATTTCTGAAGAGCGCCAAATACGTCCCAGGAGCTACGTTTTTTTGTAGTTTTTTGTTTTTGCGAATCCGCCAGGGGCTGCTGTGTACACGTTTTGAGATAATAATTCTATACATTTATATAGGGCTTTTCTGGGCACTCAAAACGCTTCACACATAGAGGGAATCTCCTTATCCACCAGCAGTGTGCAGCATCCACCTAGATGTCTCGACGGCAGCTATATTGTGCAAGATTGGTGGTGATGTGATGAAGCCAATTATGATATTGGGAGGGTTAGAAGGCCATGGTGGACAGAGGCCAAGGGGCAAAATTGACCAGGATGCCAGGGTGAAACCCCTACTCTTTTCACAGGACATCCTGGGATTTTTAACCACCACAGAGAGTCAATTTAATGTGTCATCCGAAAGACGGCGCTCACTGAGCAGTATAAAGTCCCCTTCACTATACTGGGGCATTAGGACCCACATCGACCGCAGGTTGGGCGCCCCCTGCTGGCCTCACTAACACCACTTCTGGCAGCAACCTAGCTTTCACCATGTGGTCTCCCGTCCAGGTACTGACCGGACACAGCCCTGCTTAGATTCAGTGGGTGACCATGTGAGATTTGCAGAGAGCTAGCTGTTGGCAAATCTCAAATTTCTCTCGCGAGTGCCCTCCACGCCTGCTCTTCTCTCGTAAATTCACCAGAGACTGCTGTCTACTGACTGACTGACTGACCGATACACCCTCCTCCTGCCCTAAACCCAACCGATAGTGTTTTCAAAAGCACCAATTGGCCCAACCGTCCACTTCCTTGAACCCAACCGCAGTGTTTTTAAAAGCAATTCAGTCATCCGGTAAGCGCAAAAAGGAAGGGCGTCATGCTGCCTCGTTAAGTTCCTTTTAAAGATGAAATGCAGCCATACATAGCTCTGGCTACATAATTTGTGATCTCCAGAAATGTATAGGGCTACGTTTTCAGAATAAGCCTATATTGCAAATTACTGTAGGTGTCTACAACTACAATGCATTATTATGCCTAAATAAATGTATCATTTTATACAGATCCTTTATCAGGCACTGTATGCTTGTTTTTAATTGTGGCCAGATTCAAAAATACTTGCGTATTTAAAAATAAATGCGTGTAATTGTATCTTGCATTTACTGTATGAAAAACCAAAAACCAAAACTCCTTTTAAACCATTACTTATAACCATACCCCACCCTAGTAACATTAAAAGTATTTTGAAGAACAGTTCAAGCACGATAAGCACATTGTGCACAATGCACTTGAATGTTTTCTCTTCTTTTTAGCTCTGTCATCCTCCATGCGTCCTCTGTTCGAAGAGCTTCAGTGTTCAGTTTGTCTGGATGTGTTCACTGATCCAGTCAGCACTCCATGTGGACACAACTTCTGTAAGAGCTGCCTGAACTCGAGCTGGGAGAACAGTCAGGTCTGTAGCTGTCCATTGTGTAGAGAAAGATTCAGCGATAGACCTGACTTGAAGATCAACACAGAGCTTAGACAGCTTGGCCAACTCTTTAAGGAAAGGTTGACTGTGCGAATATCTGAGGTTCTCTGTGACATCTGTGATGGGAGAAAGATGAAAGCTTTGAAGTCCTGTTTGACATGTCAGACTTCTTACTGTGAAACTCACTTAGAGCCTCATCGAAGAGTCCCGAACTTCAAGAAACACAAACTAATAGAGCCTGTGAAGAATATAAAGGACTACATATGCCAGAAACACGAGAGACCTCTGGAGCTGTTCTGTAGAGATGATCAGATGTGTGTTTGTGTGTTTTGCACTGATGGAGACCACAAGACTCACAACACTGTTCCTCTAGAGGAGGAGAGTAAAGTGAAAAAGGTGAGAGATACTGATAAAAATGTAACTTTTTTTCTTCAAAGCAAAGTTCTCATTGGGTGATCAAATGTGTTCGTGTTTCCTTCTGTAGACTCAGCTGATAGAAACTCAGAAAGACATGCAGAAGATGATTCAGGACAGAAACAAGAAGATTCGAGACATCAAACACTTGGCAGAACTCAGAAAAGTGAGCTCAAGATATTCAATACTTAATAGATGGTGTTTAGATTTCTCGAAAAGTAATTTCACTGTATATTTCAGAAGCAGGATGAAAAGCTGATTCAAGAGCTGCAGCAGGAAATCAATGAACTGAAGATAAGAAACTCAGAGCTGGATCATCTCTCACACACTAAGGATCACCTTCAGCTCCTACAGGTCAGTGACTTTCTATCTGTTCACATCACAGGACAACACTCAGACTCCTCCAGCTGAATGATTTCTCCTTTCTCATGTTGTAGCTTTACCCATCCATATGCAGCCCTTTAAATGGCAGGAACTGGTCTGATGTGAGCTTGGAGACTCTGAGGAGAGCTCTGACTCAACTGCAGGAAACCCCAGACCAGAAAGTCAGTCAAACTGGTTGGTTACTATCAAACACAACACAACACTATTTTAGGAATAAATTAAAAATTGAATCATAAATGAATCATATTTAAAATCAGCTTTCTTAATGACATAACCTACCAACGTGTATGCACTTTCATTTCAGTCAAATCCTAAAGGAGTAATGATAAATAAAATATGCATTCATTTTCCTTTAGTTTAGTCTCTTTATTCATCAGAGGTCGCCACAGTGGAATGAACCGCCAACTTATCCAGCTTATGTTTTGCATAAGATTGTCACGAGTGGGGGAGAATCACACAAAAGGCAAAAATCCATGTGCAGCAATTTATTAACAAAAAGACAAAGGTATCCAAAAAGACAGAGATTTCCAAGAGACAAAGGTTTCCAAATCTTGCACAGAACTATAAGCAAGATACAAAAACTAGATGACCAGACGAAGGAACTGGCAAAAATCCAAAAACGGGTAAAAACAAGGACAGGGTAGAAGTGCTATCAAGTGCTAACAAAAACTAACACAAACAGGAATCCAAGAACAATCGTAATACAAAAAACTAGATAACCAGACAAACATAACAGACGTGAGGAACCAACAAAATCCTAAGGCAACTAAAACAGAGAACAAGAGGGTTTATAAAGACACGACTAAATTAACAAACACGAAACAGCTGTAACATAACACAATCAATAATACTAAGGATGATGAGAAATGAAGTGAAACTACAAAACAAACTAGTGTCCTCAAGTGTCCAAATTAGGGCATTGCAACAGGTGTGACAAAGATGCCCATCCAGCTGCAACCCAGTATTGGGAAACACCCATACACACTCATTCACACGCATACACTACAGCCAATTTAGTTTATTCAATTCACCTATAGCATGTCTCTAGACTTGGGACTCTGGACCTGGAGCACCCGGAGAGAAAACCCACACAAACACAGGGAGAACATGCAAACCCCACACAGAAATGCCAACTGACCCAGCCAGGACTTGAACCAGCGACCTTCTTGCTGTGAGGCGACAGTGCTAGCCACTGAGCCACCTTGTCGCCTAAATAGAACACTGTATTTTTCAAATGGACTTTCAATGTAATGGACATTATCTTAAAGAGCCCATATTATACATGAAATAGGGTCATATTTTGGTTGCAAGGGTCTCCAACAACAGTCTAATATGCATGCAAGGTCAAAAAACACTTTCATGGTCTTATAATCTGCATTTATTTTTACCTAATTATCCCAGCGACTCCCGTATGAATCGTCCAGTGATTCATTTGTTCCCAAACCCCTCCTTAGCGCGAAGCTAATCTGCGCTGATTGGACCGATGACAGTCTGTCGCGATTGGTCGACTGCCTTCAGTCAGAGAGTGAAATGGCCAATAGCCAATCAGCAATATAAAAAGTAATCACAGTTCATACACGCTCGATAGTGTAGGCGTGGATTTAAGCTGCCACACACACACAAAAACACACACACACCTCCGGACGACAACGCTCCCGCTTCCGCCCGCACCCGCCAGGTTTTAGCCTGAGAACCCGCTCCGTTTTCTGCCCGCCGCGCCCGATCCCGCTAGAGCGGAGGAGAACACAACCAAAAATCACCCAGTATACAGTCCAGAAAGCCAAGCTGTCTGGATAAACACACACACACACAGCACCAAGCACACAAAGCTCGTTCGCTCGCTCTCTCTCTCTCTCTCTCTCTCTCTCTCTCTCTCTCTCTCTCTCTCTCTCTCGCTCTCTCTCTCTCTCTCTCTCTCATATGCGCGCGTGCGCACTAACACACACACAAGCACCACGCAGACTCTCTCTTTCTAATTCGCATAACAATATCCGTGATATTGCTAGACAGCCCGCTACCGTCCCAAATTAAACCCGTTACCGACCGCTCCCACGATTTATTCGGAAATTTATTCCCGCGGCTGTCCCCGCGCCAGATTTCTGCGGCGCGGGAATACATTTCCGAATAAATTGCGGGAGCAGAACTCTAGCACGGAGCTCCATAAACAAAGCAGCACGCGTCGCGTTTTTAACGTGACTTTGCACGCGATAAGAGAATATAGCCAGTTAACCTGATACAGTACACGCGGTTACAAGTAACAAATCACAACTAAATACATTTGCAAGCTAGAGTCAACGAGGCAACTTTAATCGCATGTACTTACACTTGAGAAATGGAAGAAACCCATCCTGACGTCCATCAGTAAGTTACTCTTTACTGATCCTTCCTTTAACAAACTCAGATGAAGTATTCTTTGTAGCATGTAGCTTCCAGAAGTTTCCAACTGCTTGGTTATAATGCTGATGTTTCATTTTTGGGTAGAGACTCAATATAATATCCATCTGCAGTGTGACTTCAATCGACCGGCATGTTTGTGTGCGTGTGTTTGTGGGTGTGCGTGTGTTTGTGGGTGTGTGTGTGTGTCTGGGTTTCTGCGTCAGAGGGCGGGGCCTCAGGTTTGAAATCTCCCGGGTTTGCGCGTGCACGTGAATAACTTGGTTTCGTTCGTACGTCATGGCGAAACACCTAATGAATCGGTATCAAGGCGACTCGTTTGAAGCACCATGAGTCGACTCTTTTATAGATGAATCAACCGTTTTAAACACTGTATTCTTACAGATTTAAGCCTTAGCTGGATACTCCACTTCACTTAGAGCTGTGTTACACACTACATGGAGGGGAATTTTCAAAAACCCATAATATGGGCTCTTTAAAAGACACAGCATGTCATTTTTAGCCACTAGAGGGTGTCTGTGTTTTGTAATGTGGTAATTAATGCACCACATCTCTTGTAGGACATGAATGTTAAGATCTCTTCATCGTCTGTTATTTTTTTTTTTGTCTTTACAGTGTTGAGGAGGATACAGCAGTTTGCAGGTACAATGACTGATCTGTTCACTCACATAAAACCTTCACAAATATTAAAACTCTTAATACGTTGCTTGCCTGTACAAAAGATGCTATTAAATATTAAACATGTGAAAGTCATTCTATTGTAAGCATGTAATAATTGATTTTATTATCTGATCTCTCACTCTAAGTGGATGTGACTCTGGATCGTGATACCGCTTATCCAGAACTCATCCTGTCTGATGATGGAAAAGAAATGATACAAGGAGACGTTTATCAAGACCTCCCAGATATCCCAGAGAGGTTTGATCATTGCCCTTCGGTCCTAGGAAGAGAGGGATTCTCCACAGGGAGATTTTATTTTGAGGTGAAGGTGAAGGGCAAGACTGAGTGGATTTTAGGTGTGGTCAGAGAATCAATTAACAGGAAGGGGAAAATCAAACTGAGTCCTCAAGACGGACACTGGTGTGTGGCTCTGATGAAAGGAGATCAATACTGGGCCTGTGCTGATCCAGCGGTCTCTCTAAATGTGAAGCCGCAGAAGGTTGGGGTGTTTGTGGATTATGAGGACGGTCTGGTCTGCTTCTTCGATGTGGTGTCCAGATCTCATATCTTCTCTTTCACTAGACAGTCTTTTATTAATAGGGTTTATCCGTATTTTTGTGCGTGTTTTACCAGTAACGGTAAACATTCAGTACCACTGATCATCTCACCTGTTAAATACAGCGAATGAAAGTACACCTCAGATAAAATTGACGAGTTTTAATGAGTTTGTAAACAAGGAATCTCAAAATGGTAATTATGCATATTTTTAAATCAAGGTTCATGTTGTGATCATGTTAGCTCCTGCTGGTACATCCTGCAACTACACCATTTGCTGCAAAATCAGTGAAATGTACTCATTAATTTATCTAAAAATTTGTAAAGAAAAAAATTATTTTATTGTAATAAAGACCATTATATATGGGATATTTCGTCATTATTATTTTTTTATTTGTTGCATGAAATACTAACTCACTGGCCACTTTATTAGGTTCATCTGTCTAACTGCTCGTTATGCTAATTTCTTACGAGCCAATCACATGGCAGCAACTCAATGAATTTAGGCATGTAGACATGGTCAAGAAGATCTGCTGCAGTTTAAACTGACCATCAATTTTTGGAAGAAAGGTGTTTTAGGTGACTTTGAATGTGGCAGACAGGCTGGTCTGAGTATTTCAGAAACTGCTGATTTACTGGGATTTTTATGCACAACCATCTCTAGGGCTTGCAGAGAATGGTTTGAAAAAGATAAAATATCCAGTGAGCGGCAGTTCTGTGATTGCAAATGCCTTGTTGATGCCATTGGTCAGAGGAGAATGGTCTGACTGGTTTGAGCTGATATAAAGGCAACAGAAACTCAGATAACCACTCGTTACAACCGAGGTATGCAGAAGAGCTTCTCTGAACGCACAACACGTCCAACCTTGAGGCAGACTCCTGTCACTCCTGCCACTCCTGTCAGCTAAGAACAGGAAACTGAGGCTACAATTTGCACAGGCTCACCAAAATTAGACAATAGAAGATTGGAAAAATGTTGTCTGGTCAGATGAGTCTCAATTTCTGCTGCGACAATCAGATGTTAGAGTCAGAATTTGGCATTAACAACATGAAAGCATGCATCCATCCTGGTTTGTATCATCGACTCAGGCTGCTGCTGGTGGTGTAATGGTGTGGATATTTTCTTGGCACACTTTGGGCCAATTAGTACCACTTAGACTGGTTTCTTAAACATGACAATGAGTTCACTGTACTCAAATGGCCTCCACACAGTCACCAGATCTCAATCCAATAGAGTCCCTTAGGGATGTGGTGGAACGGGAGATTTGGATCAAGAATGTGCAGCTGACAAATCTGCAGCAACTGTGTGATGCTATCATGTCAGTATAGACCAAAATCTCTGAGGAATATTTACAGTACCTTGTTGAATCTAAGGGGGTCCATCCAGGTACTAGTAAGGTGTACCTAATAAAGTGGCCGGTGAGTGTGTGAATGTTCACATGATCTAAATATGAAGTGATAATTTTGTACCATGATGATATGACTGATATGATTGTCATTTAATGAACTCAGGACTGATGTATGTCTACCATATCTTTTTCACTTACTTTTTTTCACACAAGAAACAACAACTCTAGCAGTTTAGCACAAAATTTTCAGAGCATAAACAAGTTACTTTGTATAACTAGCACTTCTTGTGTGTATTGCCTCTTCTTGTTGAATTGCTGAATGCCTCCGCTGTTGTAAGTCACTTTGGACAAAAGCGTCTGCTTTATGTAAAATGCAAATGTTTTCTATAAAAAGCAAACCAGAATTTGGGGGTCTGTGGCATTATTAGCATAATGACACAGGGCACGACTTATAGTTAAAATGGCTTATTTCTCTGGAACATTCTTTCCATACGTTCGGGATAATGTAAGTGCATAAATCAGTGAAATATGTAACACTGTTCTAATGGTATTTGGATATTCTAATGAAAAAAGTATTACGTATTGTGCCTTTAAATGACTGAAATCACATTTCAGTTCTGTACTCTTTCTGTCTATTTTTCAACCAATCCATCTGTCCATTCATCAATTCAGTTGTTGTATTACCATCTGTATGCTGTTCAAGATAACTTGATCAAAACTCCTCTGTCATTTAACATCTCATCTGAGCAGACTGTTGAAGTTTTGAGAGGAGATTGAAGTAGTCTATTAATTCTGTTATTTTACCCTGACAAAATCCATTGTTAAGCAGGCAAACTCCGACCTACAGTATCTGATAGACCACTATTTTTTTATTTTTTTATGTGGGCTTTAAAAGCTTTTTATCTATGTTGTTAGCTAAGATGTGCGACTGCGAATGTTCGGTCGGAAGTTTGATACCGCGGCTTCACCTTCGGCTACATATGATTCCTACTGCGCATGTCCAGACTTCTTTGGCATTTTTTTATTTATTTATTTTTTTTACAAAAGTCAGTTTTGGGGTGTATAGATGTTTTAATGAGACATTTGTAAAACGAAAAGGAATAAGTTATCTCTTTGGCCTGTTTAGCAGAGGAACAAACAATAAGCCTTGAGAAATTATTGGAACGCATATGCAGACGCTATATATTTAATTATATTAGATATTAAGTTAATTTATAGGTTATACTTTAAACTTAATGTACGAAAATATTTTGAAAAAGTCAATTTAATAAATGATTTGCCTGATTTTTTGTTGCATTTACACAGTTTTGACCAGCAGGTGTCGCTAAAGTTATATGCTTTTTCAAACGCTTCAGCATTAGCTTCCATCACTAGCATGTGTTCAGGTGGGCAGAATCACGGCAGGACATAATATATGAAATAGTACAGTTGGGAAATAATATCATTAAATCAGGAGTTATCATTTCATTATTGTGGGTACCAGCGCACATAGGGGTTAGTGGAAATGAGATGGCAGACAAGTTGGCTAAACAAGCAGCACAGCAAACTATGATAGACATGGACATCAAATACAGCAAGTCAGAAATCAAAAGTATAGTTAAAACCAAAATATTAGGAAAATGGCAACATATATGGAATAATGGGAGTACAGGACGTCAATATTACACCATACAGAACATAGTTGGGAAAGGTAGGGAAACAAGGAAAAACAAAAAGGAAGAAGACAAGTTCTCAAGAATGAGATTTAATCACACATCACTCAATAGCACACTACATATGATCAACAAACATGCAGATGGGATGTGTGAATGTAACAACCAGGAAACTGTAGAACATGTATTAATGCACTGCCCAATATATCAGACAGAAAGAAATATATTATTCACACAGTTACAGGAAAAACAAGTGGAACCTAACATAAAGAACATACTAAAGTTGAGCACGGGTGATGTATGTTTTAGATATGTTTATAACTATTTGAAAGACACAGGGTTGATTAATAGAATTTAGTATTTAGATGAATAGTTATCTATATCATATAGAGGTATTATAGAGAAAGAAATATCAAAGTTTGGGACATTTAGTAATTTATTTATATGTATAGGAAAAAGAATTAAAATTTTTATTTTATTTGTTTTTGGGTATATATATATATATATATATATATATATATATATATATATATATATATATATATATATATATATTTTTTTTTTTTTTTATGGTTGGGCTTTGTTTAACTATAAAACATGGTTTAGTTAACTCCGGATCCACACTCCAATCCAGATGGTGGCGGTAATGCACCAAAAGCTGGTTGCCAACCGCCATAAAACACACAAGAAGAAGAAGAAGAAGAAGTGTTCAGGTGGATTTCGTCAGTTTCAAGTTTGTTTTTGTCTCCCTTTCCACTAAGCAAAATCCTTCTCGTTTTCGAATTTCTATGCCTTGTCGGTAGGTTTTTCCACGCTCACGAGAAAACGTAAGTATTTTACATATTGATGGAAAAGTGGCTCATTCAGTTTGGTTTGAGCAAAACGTGCTAATGTCATTATCACTATAAAGTGACTTCGATGTCGTAACTTACATGATTGAATCAGTCCTATGAACAAAAATGAAATTCTGATGTTTTAATTTACTTAGTTAAACTTTTACACACATGCAGGTAGAATTATAAGTGTTTTGAAATATGTTTTTGTCAATTTTTGCCATGTTCTTTCATTAAATGGATGTGATTTTTGCTATAACACACACACACACACACACACACACACACACAGTTTAGCCAAATCAGTGTGTAAAAAGTAGGTAAATTAGATCAAATTAAAAAAGATTTTAAATATTCTCATTGTCTTTAACAAGTTATTTGATAAAATAAGTCATTTTCATCTCTTTTCTTTTGTTTTCATAATATTGTTAATCAATTTGCACGTGTCCTTGAAATATGTGTTAAATAAATGCTATCTTTAGCCAGAAATGTCCTCCCTGTCATTTTCCACCGTCATAAATCCTTCCTTGACATTGTGGACATATGCATTGTCATTGACACTGTATTTATTTATTTAATATTTTAATGTTAATTAGTTAATGTTTTATGTTACAACACGTATACACACATGCTACACCAGTAGATGCAATACATGAGTGGACATTACAAAGCTTTTGGCAATATCTGTCTCCGTCTATATAAAGAATATCCTTTTAAAGTTCTTATAATGGAGCTCATTGACTGTTTGAAATAAAAATACATGCTAATGTCCACCCTGTCATCTTGTTTTCCACCATCATGTTCAACTTATATGAAAATAAGCAAAGTATTTATAAAAATCTTGTGTGAGTTTAATTATCCAATAAGGGCCAGTTATTATTGTTTGAAAGTTTAACAAAATACTTTAGATGTTGGGTTTTATTTTGAAAAGAACGTGCAACTATTGCATATTTTATTGGGACATAAATGTTTTGTCCATCATTTCATTATTATAAATAGACTTTTTCCATAATCTAAAAAGTTGGGTTGGTAAAGGGACACTTTACCTTTCTGAATATATACATTTTATTATCACAATGCACTGGAAATATACTTATACTACTTTGAAATTGTCCATGACAGGGTTGACACAATTTGAGGTTTGTTCACTGTTTGTCTGCTTGCAGATTATTTGTAAAAACTGCAGGAGCTTGACCGAAATTAATTTTTTACAGCCTAAGGTCAAATTAATACAACAAATATGTGGTTAAATTAAAAATCTTAAACTTTAAAAAAGTTTGGGTTTGGAGATAAATTTGTGGGTTGGATAAAACTCTTATATTTTCCCCTTTGGCATCTGTGAAAACAAATGGTATAAATTCTGAATATTTTTCACTTTATCGTGGGACAAGACAGGGCTGTCCCCTGTCCCCACTTTTATTCGCCATAGCTATAGAACCCCTTGCAATAGCTTTTTGTTCCAGCCACAACATAACTGGTATTTTTAGAGCAAATAAAGAGCAAAAAATCTCTCTCTACGCAGACGATGATGTTCTGTATATTGCAAACCCGGAAACCAGTTTTCCCTATATTTTTAATATTATGAAACAGTTTAGTAGCATCTCAGGCTATACATTAAATTTAAATAAGAGCGAGCTCCTCCCAATTAATTCAGCTGCAAGAGCTCTTCCATTATTAGCGTTCCCATTTAAGCTAGCCTTACATCAGTTTCGTTACTTGGTAATAACAGTAACGAGGAAATATGTAGATCTTTTTAAGCATAATTTTATTCCAATTCTAGATCAAACGAAGCAAGATCTAGCGAGGTGGATGACTCTTCCACTATCGCTTGTAGGCAGAATTAATACCATAAAAATGAATATTTTGCCTAAATTTATTTTCTCATTTCAAAACATTCCAGTGTTTATCTTTTTTTTAAGACTTTAGATCAAATATTTTCAGAATTTATTTGGAATGGAGGCCCAGCAAGGATTCAGAAATTATTTCTCCAGCAACCTAAAAAATTAGGTGGATTGCTTTTCCCAATGTCTTATTTTATTACTGGCCAGCAAACATTCATAGCATCTTATATTGGAGCCAGTCCCATTACAGTCTTTGCCAATGGGTTCCAGCATGGGTTGTAATGGAATGTCACTCTTGTAGCAGAGTTTGCTTACATTCCTTGTTATGCTCATCATTGTCTAAATATTCTTGTTTTTCTTCTAACCCCCTAGTCTTACATTGTCTAAGAATTTGGAGACAATTTAGAAAGCATTTCGGTTTTCAGGCATTGTCGTGTTTGAATCCTATATATAAAAATCCTTCTTTTTTTGCCTTCTATATCAGATGGAGCATTTGCATTATGGTTTAGAAAAGGTATTGTAAATATGAATAATCTCTTTCACGAGAACACTTTTGTAACCTTTTCATATCTTTTAGAAAAATTCAAGCTACCAAAAACTCACTTCTTTAGGTATTTGCAGAATCGTGAATTTATAAGAAATACATTTTCTCACTTCCCCCATACACCTCTTAAACAACAGATTGATCAGATCTTGGAAATAAAAATCTCCAAGGGTGCTATCTCCAACATACATAAAACAAATTTCTCATTCAATATAATGTCAGATTCTTCATCCTTGTCTAAAATTAAACTAGACTGGCAATCAGATGTCAACCATGTTTTTTCAGACGATAAATGGTCAAAAGTTCTTCGTCGTGTACATACTACTTCTATCTGTGCTTGCCATTCACTGATACAATTTAAACTATTACATAGTTTAACTTTTGTCCAATAAATTCTATCTAAAATAAACCCAGAAATCGATCCCATTTGTGACAGATGCCGCAAGCTCCTCTACCATACCTTTTGGCTTTGTCCAGAGTTAATTTCTTTTTGGACATTAATCTTTAAATCAATATCTGATATTTTTCTTCTAAAAATTGAACCGTTTCCTTTAGTGGCACTGTTTAGACTCAATCCTACAAATGTATTGTTATCATCTTTGCAGTTAAATGTGTTAGCCTTTTGCTTAATAATTGCTAAAAGAATTATCCTATTAAACTGGAAAAAGCATTCTCCGTTAAACTACTTTAATTGGATGTATGACCTGTTACAGTTCATTCAAATAGAAAAAATTAGATATTCAATTAATGGCAAAACAGAGGATTTCTATACAGCTTGGCAACCTTTTCTGTTGTATTTTTAAAAAAAAAATTGCTTTATATATCCCATATTGCATATTTAGCCCTGTCTATATCTGTCTTTTTTTTTCTTTTTCCCCCTCCTGCTTTTGAATGATACAAACTTATCTAAAAGTGTATTAAGAAAAGAAATTGTGTGATATTTTACGTTTAACGGTAATGGCCTACTTAGGTGTCATTTGTTAATGTATTATTATTATTATTATTATGTTTTTTTTTCCTTTTGGTTTGTCTCTTCCTTTTTGTTGTTGTTGTTGTTTACTTTATTTCAATCTCAATATGACTCAGAGTAAGAACTGTGTTTAATTAACACTCAGTATTTTATATACTCTGTGAAAATATCTTGTTGTGGTTTTTCCTTCCCTCACTTGTAATACCTCTCTGATTGAGAATTGTCAATAAAAAGAGTTAAACTAAAAATCTTAAACTTTGTTTTGAAAATTCTGAAGTCTCAAAGCCGCTTTGTAGTGATGATGACCCATGAATAAGATTGTAAATTCACACGAATTAGCCACTAATTTTATGAAAAAGATCTGAATTGCAGTGAGATTACGTTGCCATTTCCCAGTATTCGATTACTTTGACCTAATTTGAGGGTAAGAAAACTGGGGGTAGATTCATAATGTGAAATAAAATGTTACGTTTCTTTTTTTTTCTTATAGGCTTGAAGAGATTAAAAAGATGGCAGAATCTTTACCATCATCATCAAAGCTAAAACGGACAAGGAGACAGAGTATTGATCAGATGTGCCAATGTACGTAATAAGAGCTAGAGAAAGAAAACGAAGCAAATAGCTCTTATTGTTAATATTCAATTTTATTACTAAGCATTTAACTTTGGTAACAAAATTCTCTTATATTAATTATTATTCTATGCAATCTATTTACATGTTGTCCAATAGCACTTTTTCCAGCTTGATCAGTTCCTAAAATCATTTTTACATGCTTGATGGTGGCATTTACCCTTTTAATGCCACATACAAGTGATCGAGTATTTGATATTTGCTCTGTTTTACCCAAAGTCTTATACATTTGACATTATTTGACCTGCAAATAATACATTTTCATGATTTATCATCTTTTCAGCTCTGTCATCCTCCCAGGGTCCTCTGTTTGAGGAGCTTCAGTGTTCAGTGTGTCTGGATGTGTTCACTGATCCAGTCAGCACTCCATGTGGACACAACTTCTGTAAAAGCTGCCTAAACGAGTGCTGGGACAAGAGTCAGAATTGCAACTGTCCAATCTGTAGTGAAACATTCAGTAAAAGACCCAAACTCAAAATCAACACAACACTTAGACAAGTAGTGCAGCTCTTTAAGGAAAGGTTGAGTAAATCGGAAGTGCAGCAGATGATCCAGGACCGAATCAAGAAGATTCAAGACATCAAACACTCAGCAGAACTCAGAAAAGTGAGTTGAAGCTATTCAATGTTTCTTAAATAATAATTTTATTTAATCCTGTAAAGCAGGGGTCACCAATCTTGTTCCTGGAGGGCCGGTGTCCCTGCAGGGTTTAGCTCCAACTTGCCTCAACACACCAGCCTGAGTGTTTCAAGTATACCTAGTAAGACCTTGATTAGCTTGTTCAGGTGTGTTTGATTAGGGTTGGAGCTAAAATCTGCTGGACACCGGCCCTCCAGGAACAAGTTCGGTGACCCCTGCTATAAAGGATACTTAATGATGAGAAATTAACTGTATATTTTAGAAAAGCACAGAGCGAGAGAAAGCATCCACTGTTGGGCTCTTCAGTGATCTGCTGCGCTCCATTGAGATATGTCAGGCCGAGCTGCTGGAGATGATAAAGGAGAAGCAGAAAGCAGCAGAGAAACAGGATGAAGAGCTGATTCAAGAGCTGCAGCAGGAAATCAATGAGCTGAAGATGAGTAATTCTGAGCTGGATCATCTCTCAAGCACTGAGGATAACCTTCAGCACCTAGAGGTCAGTGTATTTCTATCTGCTTACATCACAGGACAACACTCGCACTCCTGCTGAGGAATTTCTCCTCTCCTCCTGTTGTAGATTAACCCATCCATAGGCAGCCCTCCACACAGCAGGAACGGGCCTGAGATCAGTGTGGAGACTCTGAGGAGAGCTCTGACTCAACTGCAGGAAACTCTGGACCAGAAACTCAGTCAAACTGGTAGTCAATATTAAATGCAGCACAGAGAGCTTCTATTGACAGCATTAGTGTTTTTGTAAGGAAATCGGTTATCTGTGTTCCTTCATTTTTGAGTCACACTTGATATGTTTGCGGTCAAATGTAACTAATAAAAATTAGGTGAATAAGGAAAAACTTTTGATTTTTGTAAGTCTGCACTAAGGCGCAATCATAATTCTACCCCTCCTTACTCCTACCCCTCGTTTAGTGCATTTACGTGATGGGGTAGAAGTGTCCCAATTCTCTTTAGCTTGAGGGTGTAGAACTAAGGGAAGGCCTAGATTCAGAGATTTGTCAGGACTACACTCGAAAGCAAGGGGTACAAAAATTTCCCAGAATACACCAGCTACAACGGCAGCATGGCTACACATGGATTATTATTATAGTATGCTAATTCACATTATTTAGAATTTTTGCAACAAACAAGCATATGTTGTAATACATTCATAACGGCGTTCATGTTTTACCATCATGCTTAAAAAAAAAAAACGCTAAAAAAAAAACGCTAAATGTCTATACTCCATAATCATAACTTCTGTACAGCAGTCTCACAACATTCTGTCACTCGATAACATTCGAATACCCTGTCAGAAAAGTATAGTGGCTGGGAATGTGCTTTTTACAGTGTGTGCTATAATGTTAATGTTGTTTTTGTGTGTTTACATGATGAATATAGCCACGGTGTAAATGCACAGTACAGTTATGAGCTTATTGCCAAATTATATCATTATAAAAACGTGATTTCTTTGCCTTCAGTGATTTCCTGAAGGTGAATTCAAAAAAAAACGCAACTGGAATAACTACAGCAGTTGCCATCGTCAATCTCATATGAAGGAAGAGCTTGCAATGACATATAGTGACGTGTACAGGTGCTGCAGTGCTGTCCCAATTCTCATGGTAATTTTGAAGCCCTTCCCCTTCAAACTCTGTTTCAAGGGTCAAGGAGAAGGGGCAGGGGTAAAAAAAAAAAAATAGAAATATGATAGGGCCTTAGTTAATCATCCTATTTTCATTTTTTTTTTTTTTTAATTCAAAACAGGATTTTTTTGTTCAGGTCTAAACAAAGACGCCCAAAGGGATAAAGCAAACATTGAATGTAATAATTGGTCTATAATCTAATGCTGTTGTTGATCAATCAGTAAGCAACAGTAGCTACAGTATGGTATCATCCAAAGATGCAAATTAAATGTATGTGCAAAAACGAAATATCGCATAAAGGATGTGCGAATAAAGCAGCGTTTCTATCCAGTGAGTCAAAGAAAACAAAATCGTCACTTGCTCATATGCTGGTGCTGACCTACAGTAAAAATCGAATGTACTGCGTTAGGAAAAGCTGCGTCAATCTTTTCTTCATTTAATAAATGACTTGTGCCTCAGAAGACAATGCCAACACGTACTGAACATGTGGGGGCACTTGAAGGCATGAGACATGGAGCACAGACACTCTTAACAGTTCTGGAGCCAATTGATAATATAATAACACGAACATTGAAATTATTTAGGCGTTTTAGAATGACCAAAACATTATTTCAGATGTTTTACAATGCGGTCAAATTGTTGATTTGTGCATTTTCACACATTCTGATCATTATATGATCTCTTATAACAATCACTTGACCTTTTTTTAAATGCACATACTGGAATTTGTTCAGTTTCCAACATAATGCTCCTCTTTTCTTATCGAATAAAAAGTTTATCCTACTCAGTTATGCGCATATGTTTTTTATGCTCATTTTCAAAATGTATGCACATCTTGGCGTTACCATTAACTGTTTTTTATGTGCATATCCAAAATTGTTAAAAAAAATAGGGGGATGGAAACATAACTAGTCTCATTTCGTAAATAGTGAATCTTAATTTCTGATATTTTTAAATTTTTTATGTGTCAAATTTAAACTTTGAATGAATCGTTTGCTGTGATTTTTAAATGTAGCACAAAAATGAATCTGAAATCGCAAAACTGAGGTACGTTAATGATAACTCGTACCACTTTGGTGTTGAAAAGTTGATGACATTTGTTTTCTTAAATATGGCACACAAGACGATTTTCTAATAATTCAGTGGACCAGACTATACAGCAATTTGTACACCTAAAGCCATTGTTCAGATGCATTTCAATATATATTTTTTTATGTTTTGTCCTCAAACTGCTGCTGGATGTAGAACTAGTTCATTACAAATCTTACCCAAAGCAATTTGATTTTAGTTCTTAGTAGTTTGTTCTGTAGGCTGTGAAATAACTGAAATCATTCGACATAGTGAAAAGGAACTTTACTCTGGTCCTGGGTTGTCACGATCCTGAAATTCGGTACGAATCAATACTAAAATTTTTAAAAACCTCCATTTCCTGCGAAAATTTGTGTGCTGTTGATTGTAATCTTGACATTGTGTTCACTGAAATGTGAATGGGAGGCTGACAATGGAGGTTCGGATCCAAATGTAGGGTTTATTATAAGAATGGTCAGGCAAGCAATGATCAACAGGGCCAAACAGGCATATGCAGGCAAATCCAGAAGAGTGGTCAAATAACAGGTGGATAGTCAAAAGGAAGGCAGCAGACAGGAATAAACAAACAAACAAGGCGAGCGTCAAAAAACATAGCAAAGCACGGCAAAGGAAAACGTGTCGTAATCTCAAAGAAACAGAGTAACAAAACTCAGCACTGATGTGTGCGTGTGGTGTATAAATAGTCCTCGTAATCAGTTTATGAGCAGCTCCAAGCCGTGAATGTGTGTAATCTACCGAATGAGGAACAGGTGCGTATGAACGGTGCATGACTTGATATGTAGTTTGTGTAATGGCGAATTGGTAGTCCATTAGAGATTTGTGTGTTTACCAGCTATCTACTAGGATTGGATTGCTGTTGATTGTGGCATTCGCATGCTCAACAGAAATGATTGTGATTGGCCGTGAAGGTCATCATTTCACAAAACTCACTGTTGTTTACTGAGTGTAACCAGATACCGGGACACTGGAGCGTTTCAAAGTCACATCGATCAGCTGGTTTGTCTATAAGCTGACATATGAGCGATCCGCCAATGAATCGCGGCTTTAAAACGATCCAGTGTCTCTGAATCTGTGGTTACACTCAGAAAAAAGCGGTGACTTCGGTGAATTGATGACCTTAATGGCCAATCACAGTCGTTTCTGTTGAGCACATGAACACAATGGCAAATCAGCACTGTTTAAGAACCTGTTTAACAGTGCTGAAATGTTCGTGGAAGATGGACTGTTTTAAAATTTTAGTATCGATTAATACCGAATTCCAGTATTGTTACAAACCTACTCTGGCCAAAACCTTCCTGGAAATACTTATCTGAAAATAATTGCACACTTACAGTTAGAATGTTCATCAGCCAATCAGATTCAAGCATTAAACAGCCCCATGATGTAACCATATTTATTTAGCATTGTTTAGTACCAGAGCACAGTAGTAAAAAACATCAGAGGAACCGCTCTAGTTCATGACTGTTAAGATCCCGTCCTCATCTATTATTCTTTTTCCTTAGTGTTAAAGAGGATGCAGCGGTATGCAGGTACAGTGTCGGATCTACACAGGAATATATTTAATCTATGCTCACCCATACTAAACACTTTATTAATACAAACATGAATTCGTATTCTCTTCTCTCTCTCAGTGGAATTGACTATGGATCCCGATACAGCTCATCCAGAACTCCTCCTGTCTGATGACAGGAAACAAGTGAGAGTTCAAGACGTTGAACATGAGCTCCCAGATATCCCAGAGAGGTTTGATTATTGTCCTGATGTCCTGGCAAAGGAGGGATTCTCTGCGGGGAGATTTTACTTCGAGGTTCAGGTGAAGGGAAAGACTGACTGGGTTGTTGGAGTGGCCAGAGAATCGATTAACAGGAAGGGAGAAATCACAGTAAATCCTCAAAATGGATTCTGGGCTGTGGGTCTGAGGAATGAGAGTGAATATAAAGCCTGTACTGGTCCAGCTGTCTCCCTCTCTCTGAGAGTGAAACCGCAGAAGGTTGGTGTGTTTGTGGATTATGAGGAGGGTTTGGTCTCCTTCTATGATGTGGAGTCAAGATCTCACATCTACTCTTTCATTGGACAATCTTTCACTGAGAAAGTCTATCCTTTCTTCAGCCCTGAGGTTATTGAGGGAGGTCAAAATCCCCCGCTGATCATCTCACCAGTTATTTACAATGATTGAATGAATCCCAAAAGTAAAAAGCAACTCCAAAAATATGAGTAGTGCTGTTTTTTCCCACTTGTAATTTTCTAGTTATCAATACACAGATTAGACGTACTTCACACACGTGTAATAGTTTATCATTTGTCTATTTGATGACCAGTCTAGTTTTGGGATAATTTAGACCTGTGTTTCTCAACCATGCTCCTGGAGGACCATCAGCTCTGCACATTTTCCATGTCTCCTTTACCAAACACTCCTGATTGTGATCATCGGCTCATTAGCAGAGACTGAAAGAGCTGTATTATGTGTGATAGACAAAGACATCCAAAACATGCAGTGTTGGTGGTCCTCCAGGAACATGGTTGAGAAACACCGATTTAGACAACTACTAGATTGTCTTTGACAGCTTAAATTTAGCTTTATATCAGCCAAGTTGTCTGTTTAGATGTCTATTAGACTTATTTTAAACAAACAAAAAAATGTTTTGAGGACAAAAGAAAGCTTTTTGACTTCCAAGTACCCTGTTGTAATTCTTTTGTCATTTAGGTCTGATGGTCTGTTTAATATCCCACAAGTTTGAGATTACCATACGTTTTCTAACATCATAAGGAATCTTTACTAATGATGTAGTTGAGTTATATTGTTATAAAATAAAAGTAACACAAACCCTCAAAAATATGACATTATTTTCATTTTTTACACTTTAAAGGGTTAGTTCACCCAAAAATTCAAAACCTTTTATGTTGTGTTTACACAAGGTGCAGCAGTCGTAAATAAATTGCACTATTTGCGTGTAAATAGACACTTGAACATTTTGTGTTTACTCGTTTCATTCGCACAGGAAATTCACTTCACAATAGACACAGGTTCACGTCATAGGCTTGCCTTCTGTCCGCCTGGTGATTCTAACCTCATTGCTAAATGGCTAACATGGATTTAATGAGAAAGTAGCTGTGCTTTAGGTGCTTTAGGAAGGCTAAAAAACAGCATATATTCGTTCTGCGCCTTGTCTGAGTCCACTAGGTCCTTTCGGAGGTGCATCCAGCTCTGTGAGTTCCTCAACTCCTCCAGAAGCTATATGTGAATGATGGAGGCTTTCAGCTGTGCTTCAGACTAAGCCGAACACCGTTTGATAAGCTGTTGTTCGGTGTCGGCAAGAGGATTTCTCCTCGGGACACCAATAACATGCACTACGTCTTAATCATGCCCCTACAAGAGCAAGCTCCTGATTGGCTTATGTGACCAGAATGTCCACTGAAGTTCCGATTTTGCAACTTGAGTGATTTACACATTAAGCAACATTACATTTGCGTCTGGTGTCATTGCACCGTCACGGTTTCTTTCTTCTGTTGAACACAAAAGATGATGCATTGAAAAGTTCTGGTTTCTGGCTCCCACAGTTGCCCCCCACCATCTTTTTTTATTTTTGGTAGACAGTGGGTACCAACATTTATTGATGTATTTTGCTTGACAGAAGAAAAACATACTCAAATGTTTTAAACCACTTAAGAGAGAAAAAATGATAATGTAATTGTCATTTTGAGTGTACTATCCATTTAAATGATGTGACTGGAAAAGTTGAGGATAACAGAAGAGGTAACCGCCATCGGCAAGAAAACCACAAACTGACTACAGGAAACCAAGCTCAGCTAAAGTCCATATAAAATCACATTTACAACTGCACATTAAGACGCATGATACGGGGTCAAAGTCTGGCATGGCTGAAGGCACGGCTACTGAACAACCGTCTTTAAAAATACGATCTCAATAAATTCTCTGTGAAGACTTGATATTCACTCACAGGTAAGTTGTGGAAATAATTGCCTTTAATATACTTCATCTGCTTCAGAAGAGTATGTGTAGAATTAGAAATTCTATTTTATTAAGATTAAATGTCAGATTAAAGCACAAGCTAAATCTTATTTAGTTTGTTTACCAAGTAAAGTATTAAAAATTATATTTTTTATAATTCACTGTAAAACTAAAATACTAGGTTTTAATACAGAGTGTGATTTGTGTTGCTTCAGAGTACTTACCGTTGTTGGGGATGTGATGATTGGGTTTAATGATGTGAAATGAAATGCTTTTAATATTCCTGAAAAAGGAACAGTTGAATATTAACATCACCAGTACAGCGAACAGAGTATGGAAATACTTAAATCTAAGTCAATAATCATTGATGATGTTGTATCTGGACCGGAGGTTTGTAGTTCTACTATTGTCATTTTGTTGCTTCAGTTGATTTGTGTTCTGACTGTGTGCTACCACTTATATTGTAATTCCTCCCGTTACAACAGGATGTCACTGGAACATTTTGTCATATTAGATTCCATTACCACCATAATATTCAGATGGTTAGAACAGAAATTGCTGTAAACAACGTGAAAGCATGGATCCCCCCTGCTTTGAATCGATGTCTCTTTGTGATTGTGCAGAGAATATCCGCACATTTTGGGCACTGTATACCAAATATGATTTTGCTGTGTCTTGCTTTAAACTGTGTGACACAGCCTACCTACATTTTTCTGCTAACCCTGGTCATCTTTTATGACCATACTGAAACCCATATAGTGATGGCTACTTCCTGCAAGATAACACTACATTTTACAAAGCTGAAATCTTTAATGTGTACAGATAGGCCAGCTGTGATGGCAAATGTAACAGAGGACAGCTAGTGAGATGCTGTTCAGGTAAAACTTTTAGCCTCCTTGTTAGAGCAACTGACTCCCCAGCAAGGAATCACAGATTTGATTTTAGCTCTGAGGGAGTGGGTGGTGTAGGACTGGTGGGTTACATTTGTGCCGTGACTCGGATGGGAGTGAGATTTAGGAGTGTTGAATATATGGCGGAGTAGGGCGGAGGCCAGCTAGTGAAATGCTGTGCAGATAAAACCTCAGTCTCCTGATCTCAAAAGGTGCTCTAGCAATAGACGCTAAAGGCCACGGTCTTTAGCCTCCTTGTCGGAGCAAACGACTCCCATGCAAAGAATCGACGGTTTGATCCCAGCTTGGAGCGAGTGGGTAGTGTAATGCTGTGTTCACACCAGACTTGGATAAAGCATCAAACGCGTTAAGTCGCTGCAAAGATGCGAATAGACATCCTGTGTCACGAGTTGAGCGTTATGTGCGCTTGACACGTTTAACACAAGAATCATGCGATTTGCTCAAGTTTGAAAATTTGTACTTTAGTGGGTATCCACGTTAAACAATCAGGAGCTTGCTCTTGTAGGGGGCTGATTATGATGTAGTGCCTGTTGTTGGTGTCCCAAGGTGAAATCCTCTGGACAACAGTTCATCAAACTGGGCTCGGCCCAGTCTGAAGCACTGCTGAAAGCTTCCATCATACAGGTATAGTTTCTGGAGGAGTTGATGAACTCAGAGCTGAGTGCACCTCAGAAAGTATCTAGTGGACTCAGACACAGCGCCAACAAATTTACGCTGTTTTTCAGCCTTCCTAAAGCACAGCTAGTTTCTCAATAAAATCCATACTAGCCATTTAGCAACAAGCCAGAGGACCAGGCAGACAGAAGCCTTGACACGAATCGGCGTCAATTGGAAAGTAAATTTGACACGCAAATGTGACGCACAAATGAAGCGAATAAACTCAAATTGTTCACACGTCTATTTATACGCAAATATCGTGATTTATTTGTGCATGCCACATCTGGTGTGAACACAGCATAAGACCGGTGGGCTACACTTGCTTAGAACAACTTTCATCTGCCCATGTTTTTTGAGTTTTGTGGGTTAATGTTAAAAACAGAATTTCAGCAGTCTGTTATTGGAAGATAAGAACTATTGTAGGTGATATATTTTCATCATTATTTTTTATCTTTTCAGCTATGTCATCCTCCAGTAGTGTTCTGTTTGAGGAGCTTCACTGTTCAGTGTGTCGGAATGTGTTCACTGATCCCGTCAGCACTCCATGTGGACACAACTTCTGTAAGAGCTGCCTGAACACGAGCTGGGAGAACAGTCAGAACTGCATCTGTCCATTGTGTACTGAAACATTCAGTAAAAGACACAAGCTCAAAACCAACACGACACTTAGAGACATCGTGAAGCTTTTTGATGAAAGGTATAGCCTCAGAATATCTGGGGTTCTCTGTGACATCTGTGATGGGAGAAAGATGAAAGCCATGAAGTCCTGTCTGACATGTCAGACCTCTTTCTGTGAAACTCACCTGGAGCCTCATAGGAGAGTCCCGAACTTCAAGAAACACAAACTAATGGAGCCTGTGAAGAATATGAAAGAATATATTTGTCAGAAACATGACACACCTCTGGAGCTGTTCTGTAGAGATGATCAGATGTGTGTTTGTGTGTTTTGCACTGACGGAGACCACAAGACTCACCACACTGTTCCTCTAGAGGAGGAGAGTAAAGAGAAGAAGGTATGAGTTTCTCACAACAGGAAAACTCCAATAACTTGGTTGTAAATATTTGATCAAGATCTTCTGTTAGAAGATTTAAAATCCTCAACAAGTAATTAATTGTGTGCTTCTGTCTGTATATACTGTAGATTCAGATGATAAAGACTCAAAAAGATCTACAGAGTATGATCGAGGACAGAATTGGGAAGATTCAAGACATCAAACACTCAGCAGAACACAGGAAGGTGAGTTAATGATCTTCAATATTTGGTGGATGAAGTTTAAATTTCTCTCCTTAAAATATAACTGTACATTTCAGAAAAACACAGCACGGGAGAAAGTGTCATGTGTTGAGCTTTTTAGTGATCTGCTGCGCTCCCTTGAGAGATGTCAGGCCGAGCTGCTGAAGATCATAGAGGAGAAGCAGAAAGCAGCAGAGAAACAGGAGGAAGAGCTGATTCAAGAGCTGCAGCAGGAAATCACTGAGCTCAAGATGAGAAACACTGAGCTGGATCATCTCTCAAGCACTGAGGATCATCTTCAGCTCCTACAGGTCAGTGTATTTCTGTCAGCTCACATTACAGGGCGACACTCACACTCCTCCTGCTGAATGATTTCTTCTCTCCCTTGCTGTAGATTTACCCATCCATATGCAGCCCACCAAACAGCAGGAACTGGTCTGAGATCAGTATAAACACTGATGTGAGTGTGGAGATGCTGAGGACGGCTCTGACTCAACTGCAGGAAACTCTAGACAAGAAACTAAGTGAAGCTGGTAAGTCAATATAAAACACGGTATATTATTATTATTATTTTTAATAATTTGACTAGTTTGTACACGTGTTGTTTCTTGGTTGTTTCCTCTTGCATTTAAGTTTCCTTTTCCAGTGTTAAACATTTGTGTGTCCAGCTGACATCTCTTTTACTTGGAGCAGAGAGATTTCTCCCTGAAGAACCATACCTTCTTGCATGCTTTGCAGTGTCTATGTAGTCAGCCTCAGTGAGCAGTGCCATGTAAGCTTGTCAATATCTAAAGGCTGACAGTAACTTTGACTAAGTGCATGTAAATATAGCACAATATACTACCAGTAGTTTGGCTGATATCCTCTTTTGTTGTCCATAACCAAAATGAGATGTTTGGCATTATCTCAGATTAGCCAGTTGCCTTAATCAGTGAGCCCTTTTTTATTTTGACTCTCTAAATGAGGGATTCTTGATTCTTGTTTGCCCGCTGGTCCCACACAGCTGTCCATTTTCATCCCCGAAATCTCTGCTGGCTTTCCTCAGCTTTCAAACTCCTTCATGCCCAGAGTCTCCCCAGTTCTGGCCCAGTTCTTTATCTCCTTCATCCCCTGAGTCTCCACATGCCCTCTCTAACTCTCCATCTCCTTCACTATATGAGTCTCTACTGGTTTTCCTCAGCTCTCCATCTACTGAGTCTCCACATGCCCACTCTAACTCTCCATCTCCTTCACTTTATGAGTCTCTACTGGTTTTCCTCAGCTCTCCATCTACTGAGTCTCCACATGTCCTTTCTAACTCTCCGTCTCCTTCATCCCCCGATTCTCTGCTGCTCTGCCACAGCTCTATCTACTTAATCCCCTGAGTATCTGTTGGTCCCGCCCAGCTCTCCATCTCCTTCATCATCCTATCTATTGGTCTGCCCCAGCTCTATTTATTTATTCTTTTAGCTCTAAGTATCTTCTGTTCCTGGCCAGCTCCTGCTCTCCTTTGCCTTCCAGGTCTCGGCTGGTTCCAAAAAACACCTGGTCTCTTTCATCGCCTGAGTCTCTGCTGGTCCAGCCCAGCTCCTGGTCCTCTTCATTTCCAGAGTCTCAGCTGGTCCCTTCCAGCTATCCATATCCTTTGTCCCCCAAGTCTCCTGTGGTCCCACCCAGCTACTCCTTGGCTTCTTTAGTCTCCACTGTCTCAGCTGGTCCCTTCCACCTATCCACATGCTTTGTCCCCTCCCTAAGTCTCCAGTGGTTACACCCAGCTACGTGTCTCCTTGGTCTCCAGTGGTCCTGGTCAGCACTTTTTCTCATTTATTTACTGAGTCTACTCTGGTCAGCCATTCTTCTAGCCATGTCATCACTGCCCATTGTAATTCCCTCAACTTGCACTTAGCCAACTGCATCTGGCAGTGAGTATTATTATCAGTACTTCTATTAGTCAGCACCATCTGGTCATTAGGACCCTCCATCTCCACCTCCAGCCTTTAAGCTATAGACTCAACCTCATCCCTCAGACCCAATGGCACCACACTGGCTCCATGCTCCTATGAGTGCAACATGACGCATCATACCACCATCTCCACCAGCCTTCTTCATCCCCTACCTCTACCATCCACCTGCCACAACCTCGAGACCCCTACACAATTCATTTCATCCATCTTTGTCCCCCTCACTCTCTATCCAGCTTCATCATTGTCCTCAGTTTCTCTAGCTTCACTGCAGACTTTCCAATCTCTGCAACAGACCCTTGATCTGTCAACTCTGCCTTGCACTCCATTTCCTCATCTCCACTACCATTAGCTTTATCTTTGCCAGTCAGCTCCCTGGTAAAGTCATCCACATCTCCATGGCTCATCTCTTCCTCAATTCATTTGATGGCCATTGCTATGACTGTTTCTTTTCTCTCTGCTGCTCTTTGGTCTTCTGTGGTTCCTCTCCCACCACCATCCTGATTCCTCAGTTTGTCACATCCTCCTCATCCTCCTCCAATGTCCTCTCCCTTTCCCCGAATCTTGAATTTGTAATGTCTTTTTTTTTATTATTTAGATGGAATTTTTGTGAAGTTTATTTATAAACAAATTTCGAGAGATCACATGCTTATGATTGACCACAGCTGGTCTTGCATTAGCTAATACATGATTTACCAATCAGATGACTCCTAAGTCACTATAAATAACAAGAGATTCATACCACAGTTATCTTTGTTTTGAAGAATCCCCCCCTTCCAGCCCTACTCATCCTCCTTTTCCTAGATTGGGCAACACATCGGACCAGTGGGCCTGTGGTTAGCACTGTTACCTCACAGGAAGAATGTCAATGGTTCAAGTCCTTACCAGGCCAGTCAACGTTTCTGTGTGGAGTTTATATGTTCTCCTCATGTTAGCGTGGGGTTCCCCGGTTTTCTCCCACCATCCAAAGACATGCAACATAAGTGAATTGACTAATCCAAATTGGCGTCATAGATGTGCTCCTAGTCAGCAGTGGGGGATTCTCGAGATCTACCTGAGCTCAAACTCCCCTCTTGCCCTGCAAATGGGAGGAAACCCTGGGCTCGGGGATCTTATGAGCTCAGGACTCTTTCCCGAGACAGCATGCCAAACATGCTTTATAATCAATGGTTTGTGCATGCATTCATTTGTATTAACCTTTGCTGAGATGAGTAAATGACATCAGCAAGACACGTACATTAAAGGGACACTTTGCTTTTATTACAGTACATGAATGTTAAGATGTCTTCATCTTTTTTTTAATTATTTGTGTTGACAGTGTTGAGGAGGATGCAGCAGTATGCAGGTACAGTGACTGATCTGTTCAATCACATAGTAATAACTTCACAAATAATTATAGCTTTCAAACATACACATGTAAAGTGATTCGTTTGTGATGACGTGATTTATATTCTCCAATCTCTCTCTCTGTTTCTCAGTGGATGTAACTCTGGATCCTGATACAGCTCATCCATGTCTCATCCTTTCTAATGATGGGAAACAAGTGAAAGATGGAGAGATTAATCCAAATATCCCAAACAACGCAGAGAGGTTTGATGAATTTGTCTGTGTTCTGGGGAAAGAGGGATTTTCTTCAGGGAAATTTTATTTTGAGGTGGAGGTAAAAGGAAAGACTGAGTGGGATTTAGGAGTGGCCAAAGGATCAGTTAACAGAAAGGGAAGAATCATAATGAGTCCTCAGGATGGATTTTGGACAGTGGCTCTGAGAAAAAAGAATAAATATTGGGCTTGCCCTTGTGTCCCGCTGTCTCTGAGACTGAAGCCACAGACAGTGGGGGTGTTTGTGGATTATGAGGAGGGTCTGGTCTCTTTCTATGATGTGGAGTCCAGATCTCATATGTACTCTTTCACTGGTCAGTCTTTGTTTTTTCAGTCTGAGCAACTCCATCCTTTCTTCAGCCCATGTCTCTATGAAGAAGGTAAATATTCAGCTCCGCTGATCATTTCACCTGTTAATTTCAGTTAATGAACACACAGCTCGGGTAAAAGATTATTTTGTACTATGAATCTAAATATGCATGTTTGCTTTTTTTACATTATTATTTTGTTCTTTGACATTGGTAGATCCTGTAACTACATTATTTGGCTGCAAAATCAACAAAAAAAAATCTATTTATTGTCCTGAAAGTTATTTATATTTCATACAAAATACAAAGAAATCTAAAATTCACATTCGTTTGATTGTAATTTCATAGATAATATGTGTTGACTATTTCAGTTTTTTTGTCTTTTAAGAACATTAACAGACTCTCCAGATCATTTTATAACCATTTTATTGTTTAGTTTCTAATTATGACTATTATCTTTTCATTTGTTTTGTAAATCAGACATTTACGCATTCAAATGCAACAACTTTCAAATTATTCAACATATTAAAGATTTTAGACTGGTTAAGTTTTGACTCTTTAAAAATCTGTCATACAGAATAGATATGAAATGGGAATAAAAGAGTTAATCTGAGTTTGGTTTATGAATAAATTAATCATAAAATGTAAACATGAGTTCAGCTTTAGGACTGATGTATGTGTGTGTAACAGCAGTGTTGATGGCTATTATTAAACAGTACCCTGTATACACACATATGCCACAAAGTAAAATACATCCTCACAGGTAAGAAAGGCTTTGATAAGTAAACAGAAATATTGACAATAAGAGAACAAAAACAGAAGCTCCACCGTACCTGCTTGATGCTCAAGAACAAACATTGTTGGTTCTGGTACAAAAGATTTGTTTTGGGTGAAGTAGATGCCCTTCACTAATCATTTGGGCCTTTTACAACCAAAAGAAATACACACATGTATACACTCACATGTATACACTCATTCATTTATGCAGAGATCCAATAGATATATAACATTCACATAAAGATGGTTGTGTTTCATCTTCAGGGGCATGAAGCACTATAGTTATTGTAAGTAGTTTTATTTTGCATATGCTTAAGTTGTTTGTTTGTTGTGAATTGTAACGTATACAAAAGATAGTGATGTGCGGATCGATACTAAAATATTGAAATTTCCGAGACCAGCTTAGTATGTTTTAGAATCGATTATCTTATCAAAATATCGATTTTTTTATTCATTCAGATCAAATGTGTAGTTTATTGGAAATATAAATGCAGCGGAAAGTAACCACAATTACCCTAGTTTATCTGAATAATGGCAACTTAGTTGGAACTACTTGTTCTTCCGCCTGCCAAGTCATGTGCGTAATATGGCACTGTACAACTGCAGAGCACGCTAGCTAGCCACTCAGTCCACTCCACTGGCATATGTTCAGTCACACTATCATTAGATGTGGGTGACCGCAAGTGAAGTATGTGTGGAGCTACTTCACTTCCATAAACTCAAACGATGCAGTTTGTGACACGTGTAACAAAACAGCGAGGTACCTTTGTAATAACACAAACCTAATCAAACTCTAAATATAAATCACAAGACAGAATATGACTCTGTCATGACTAGGTGGTCAGAACAGGAGGAAAGGAGAGGCACAGGTGCTGCTAGGGCGAGACACTTTCACAGTCCTTAGGCTGTATTTTTGGGGCTTGGGTTTTTGTAACAATGATAAAGAAACGGAAAAAGGTTCAAAATCTTCAAGGGGACCGGATTAACAAGTCACTAAATTAAAAGGTGTAAATGTTTATTGTTTTAATGTTGAATGTTCAGGTAGGCGTTTTAAGATATACATGCTCAGATGCTGTCAATAAATATGTAAATTGGCTCTTTTGTTGTATGTTAACTCTTCATCAACAAACAATATACAAGAATAACCCATAATATGTCTCATAATCAGTATGAAGTGACACTTTTAAGTACACTACTTGTCACTTTAATTTACCGGATTAATTTTTAATTTTTTTAATTTTCGGATCGGTATCGCCAATACTCGCCTCCATTTTACTTGGTATCGGATCGGATAGGAAACCAGTGGTATCGCACATCACTAACAAAAGACTGTGGGTAACTGGAAAAAGGATACAACTGATGGATTATTCAAAACTTGAGAATTGAATTGCGATGTCCTTGATGACTTATCATTTTAAATACGTCTTACTTGGATACATGGATTTAATTAAGAAACACTGAAATTGAACCCAGAACCAGAAATGAAATAATCCTTTGCTTTAGCGTGTAATAGACTACCAGTGCAGGTTACTAATGCTGAATTATATAAACTTTTATTGAAATCCAATCTTGATCCTCTCTTGTCTTGCTTCTATATCTGATAGATTCTGACTATATCAATTAGACACAAAACCAGTGTATCCACTGCATAACAAAAATGTATATAATGTTAAAAGGATAGTTCACCCAAAAATGATAATTATGTCATTGTAAGATGGCTAAATCTCTCCAGAATATCAGACCCTAATAACTCTTATGCAATGCAATGTTCTAATGTGAGAAGTGATGAAGAAACCAGCTGTTCAACTGTTTTATCCAAGTCACTGTTGACAATGCAAACACAGGCTGGAGAAACAGAGCTACACTACAGCAGGGGGGTAATGCGAGAAAGTCAGCCTTCTCCTTCCACCTCAAGCCCCCTTGACCCTTATGTTACTTTCTGATTAGAGCACATTTCACATAAAATGTTCAAGGTTGTAATATGGTGTATCTTGCAGCACTATATTCATGTTTGGTCTCATTTTTAATGTCTCTGTGTGATTGGTAAAGTGGTCTTAATTTTACAGTAATATTTCACTGGTATATGTTGATTTGGTTTTTGACTTTGATAAGATCTTGATAAGATGCTCTCCCTCCTAAGGCCCCGTTTACACTAGTGCGTTTTAGTTTTAAAACGGCGTTTTAGAATGAAAACGATCCGCGTCCACACTCGCGTTTTACCCAGCGTTTCTGAACTGCTCTCCGTCCACACCAAAACGCTGAAAACGCACATCACGTGACCACACTCACACTCTCGGGCAAGCGCTGCAGCCCATATACCCAGATGAGAGCTCTGCTAGTCGGACTTCTCATCAAGCATCTCCCGCTGGATCTAATCTCACTATATTTATTTAACGGGATATTTCATTTATCTTGTTGTCTTTATCTAACGACATATTACCTGACTTTGGGCATTGGAATCTATTAGGCTACTTGTTCTCAGGTAACGTGTTTTGGCTGAGCGCAAGGGTTAATGATTAATGTAACCACGTACATTCTGTATATTGACTGATCGCTTGCCTTTATTTCCTATAATGTATAAACTTATTGTAAGTTATACTTTTATAATGGCCATAATCGATTATTAAAACTGATATTCAGCAAAAGAGATGGTGTGTTTCGTATTTTCACTGAAATTGAAAGTAGGCAGTTGTTATCGGCTCCGTTTTGTTATAAATATCCACACAGTGAAGATGACGCTCATATATGCAGTACAACGCCTCAACATTTCTGATGTCTGTTAAGTTGCTAATATTAAAATGAAAATAGGCAGTTCCTTAAATCATGTTTACATTTTATTGTTGAGAAAGTGAAACAACGAAGCCAGGGTAATGTGAATGAAGTTATAAAGTACACTGTTCCCTTTGAAGATTTACCCGTGTCCTCGGTATAGTCTGCTTTTCCGTATCAAACTGAGAAGAAGAGACTGCAGCCTTGATCAAACTTGCGAAGTCTGAACTTACACGGAGAAAATGCAGGACTGAACTGTGCGTGTTAGGCTACTTAATATTCAGGAAAAGCCCCAATCAGAGAGACGAACGTCTGCAGCCCCGCCCGTTTTCAGATGTCTCCGTTTTCCATCATCCACACTGAGACGGAGCAGCAGCGTTTCAGAATGAAAATGGCCTTTCCAGCGTTTTCGAAACGCTCCGTTTTCGGCGCTCGAGAACTCCGGTGTAGTGTGGACGGATGGCGTAACCGTAGCAAAACTTATGCGTTTTCAAACTAAAACGCATTAGTGTAAACGGGGCCTAAGAGATGGTTAAGTCAGGCCAGGGTTTCTGTGACACTTCTATTGTCTTGAATTTATGGCTGTTTGTTTTGACTTGAGTATATAAGGTAACATGTGCTTTAGGACGGGGGGAGATCTTGTAAAAAGACACCCCATTGCAGCATCTCTGAGACTTTTGCTGCAATGTACTTCTCTGGTCAGGTATGCATCTCTAACTCTTTGATTTATCTTTGATTAATGGATGTTGTATTGTTACAGTCTCATCTCTGAATTGGCTTCCTGATGATTTATTATGTAATTGGCAGAATACAATTTTACCTGACAAATAAAATGTTAAGTTTTGATTAATTCTGGAGTTTTGCGAATTCATTGTATCCAGTAGATTACGAGGAGTCTTCATTACCTTTATAGTATGGCATAAATTGAATTGATTAATAGGCACATTTGATTATTTGTAGCCATAGCGTGCTGATAACATGTAGACCTTTTAGTCATTTGACCACTGAAAGTAGCAAGTTGTATGGGTTTGGCTAAAAATATTTTTATTTAGGGATTAGGTGAGCGTTATGCTACCAACCTATCTAAATATTAGTTAATCCTGCATCCTCTGACTATTTTTAGAGTGCCGACATATTGTCCGTGAGAAGAAGCGCAAACTCGGGATGTGGAACTCTGAGAAATGTTGGTCCCTAATGAACGTACAATTTAGAATATCGGACCCCAGAAAATATCAAAACTCTAAATTAAATCATAAATGATGAATGTGATCCGTTCTTACAATTAGAAATACAATCTAAATTTTAGGATCATTTAAATTGGAGTCAGATTGAATTCGGAGCTAAAAAAACGAATATAAATTAATTCTAATAAATAATAAAATTCTTTTCAGAAGCACTAGAAAAGGCTTTCATGCATTAAACCTTCGACGATGCTGTTCGTTTCGTCATTGGGCTAATAGATGGACTCCTACATCATCATATTATGGAAGTTAATATAGATATTTTGGAAGTTAATGGGTGCTAGCAACTAACATTCTCTAAAATATCTTATTTTCAACAAAAGAAAGAAAATTAACGGTTAAAATTACGGATTTTGAGTTACTTGCAAATACACATAGTATGTTAAATGATAATGGACTGTTATTAGTTTACATTGTTACACTTTATTAAATTGTAAGCATTTTTTCTTTGTTCACCCATAAAATTCATTTAATTTTACATTGCAAATGTTGCTTGTTTTTTTAACAATCAGAAAATCAGCCAGAATGAAATGCTTTGGGTCATTTGAGAGCGGATTTGCTTGTTGAATTCATTAACATAAATATATTTTCAACCCAAAAATAGGTAGGTTCAGTATGGATGGTACAAAGTGCTGGATTTTTGTAATTAAATTGATACATTTCTTAGATTAAATAATAAAAAAATAAATATGTTGTAAATATAAATCACATGATATAAATATATTGTGCTATCTGTTAAATTATCTTAAAAGGTTTGTATAATTTGTGCAGGGTATTTTATGTTTACAGCAGATTAAATCACAGCATCTGAGTGTAGCCGGCCAGGGGTCCGTTCTTCGTAGCTCCCTTAAATGATCTAAGATGATTTGGCAAATCCTGGATCTTTTATTCTTGATAACTGATCTCTGGCTAATTTGGTTCTTCAAACAAGTTCGCGAATCAGATTAGAATGTCTGGATGAACTGATCTGAGATCGCTGCGTGTGTTGTGAAGGACAGATCTATCGATCCTCGAAATCATGATCAGCAATGCAACGATTGGCTGACGGCACAGCAGCGTAATGACATCATCTGATTAATATTAAATTATCCATGTGAGCAAAATTACATCAAATTAGCAGTAAACGGCTTGTTAAATATGACACGCAATAACCTTCCACATTTGTTGTGAGATGCAGGCTTTACACTTTCATGAGTCAAGAGTATTCATCATGTATGCATATCAATGTATTTAGTTCTACATATTTAAAAGATTTTCTTTATTATAGTAGCCGTTTTTTTATCGGTGTAAAAAATAACTGGATGTTTACAAAAGCATTTTGATATTGGTAAAGGAGTCTGCAACTTTGGTGAAGTAATCACTGCCATATTAACTGTCAAAACATATTTATGACTGTATTAATGTATTTCTTTTAAAAAGGTCCCATATTGTGCATTTCTATTATCATACACAATTTGTACTAAAGCGATCTAAAAAGTTCATATCAATAAGTTTTCTCTTTGCACCACCAGGTGGCAGTCTTTGTACTTTCATTTCGAGGGTGCAGATTGCATAAGTTTTATTAATATATATAACTTTATTTATTTTATTAATTACTATAACTTATATATATATATATATATATATATATATATATATATATATATATATATATATATATATATATATATATATAGTTTAGAAATATTTACTATTTTTCCAAGTGTATATAACTATTACTGTAAGAAAATATCAGAATTCGGTACATACTTTATGTTTTATCTTTGCTTGAACTGACCTGATCTAATCCTGTTTATAGGAATTGAACCTGATCCCGATCAGGTTTGAGCTAGCAGAACTGTTGCTATGACAACAACACTCGGATCAGCTTTGAAGAACGAAACGATCCTGGATCGTGTCAAATCATCAATATCCAAATCCAGCTAACTGAGTAATCCACGTACGAAGAACGGACCCCAGGACATATAGACCAATTACCATGTTTGTAAACATTCAGGATGCGTGTGCAGGGAGGTGGCAGAAAAAAAACGGGAGCGCTAGCATTTACAGCGAGGGAATGACATCCGATGCAGTACAGTTTGTTGTTGTCTTAGAAATAAGATATATTGATTACACATTATATACATTATTTACATCATGCTTACAGCGTATTATAACCAGTGATAAGCACAGTGATTCGGCAAAATTAACATTAAAGTGAGCGGCGTTCGTCTGACAGGTCCATTTGCAATAGCACCCTCCCATGAATATTGAAATAGACGAAAGGACCAAGCATCCAGGCCGAAATATACATATATACATATATAATTAGTCTGTATATACATATGTAATTAGTCTGTTGTCTCTGCTTGTTGCTGGCTGTATGTGGGCGGAGTAATACACAGAGGTGAAGGGTGAAGAGGCCTTTGTGTGATGTCACTGGCAAAATATTGCATGGCTAAAAGCCAATCAGATTCAAGAACTGGACAGAACTGTTGTATAAATTTAAATAATTGTATCGCTCGCGTGCACACAACCTGCTTAGCTAAACAGACGACAGAAATGAGGCGTGAG